GCGCTCTGGACTAAAAGAGCTATAAAATGTTCTGGTCTTAAAATCACGGTGATATAATACACTCAAGTACGATCATCTGGCTCTACACAATTCCTTCCAGACCAACTAATCGCTCCCAAATTTTAAAGATGTTCGCTACCAAATTTATCATAGCAACTATGAGTAATCATTCTTAAATACGCGCATGCCTCAAGTAAACCCATTTCATCAAGGAGACTTCCCCAAACCTGCAACTTTATTGTTGTTGTACGTAAAAAGTTGCTTATGTTCAACGAAACTTTAGAATACCTGTACACCATAATTAAAAATACATAAGTACTAAGTTTACTTACTATGTATAAAAAAAAGAAGTGTTTTCTCACTAAGGCTAATTAGTTCTATGATTCACAGTTCTTGATGAAACTTCAGAATAAAGAATAAATCTACTAGATTTAATACAAATAATTATTATTAACTCAAAATTACTTTACGATATCGTAACTTAGATAAAAATACTTTTCTTTTTTCAGCAATAGTTCCTATGACTGCTATTAAAAACAAGTGAAAAATCTAAAGCCGGGTGCCCCGGTTTTAAATGCTCTGTGCCTATGAAAATGCATGTCTATACGTCTCTGTGTATCTTAGCATGTGCGGAGTATGGAGTTGTGCCAAAACAAAAACAATAACAACAGCTACAGCCATAATTTTCATTCAAATTGACATATCATGATAAAACATAGGAACACATAATCACTAACTGGAGGTATCCTAGTACATTTCTCACTTCCCACAAACCTAGTATCATTCAGATACAGAGTATAATAATAATAAGGCTACCACCTGGTCTTTGAGTGAATTGGACAAGTCTACAAGTACATACAAGTTAGACCTACGACTCAAAAGTAATCAGTGTGCATATGAATGGGTAATGAGTAAAACATTAGATTGATCTCTATGTATTTTTTAAAATAATAAGAGAAGAAGAAAAGGTTCAGGATTTTATATTGAAGCTTCTGATAGTAAGCTACCACTTCCCGTTATAAATTGTACATTAAAGCCTCACACGTTTTCTTCATTCCTTTAAGTCATTGTCCTATTACATCGCTCTCTCCTTGTAAGCCTCATCAAGGCAGCCTGGGTAGATATTGATAAATCGCAGACGGGCTCAGGGGCATCCGTTTTTGAAAATGCTCCAATATTTGAAGAGCCTCTTATCCCCAATGGGTTTCTATTCAGGTCCGATGACAAGGATGTACTTATGTACTCTGAAATTAGTTGTATATGTTGCTAATTCTTCGCAGGTGTAGGTGTCAGTGTCGTTGTCAGTTCGTCTCGTCAACTTTACAATTAAGTGCTCGAATAAATTTAGAAGCAATGTTCACGGGCGACGCTTGTCAATCACGACGCCCTCTTCACAAGATATAGACTAAAAATACGCCTGCTCAAATCCTCTTTTGTGTTGAAATGCATCTGTTCACTTTGACTTTCTGAATCCACAGATCCTGTCCAATTCACTAAACCAATTTATTTTGACATAACAACCACTTGTTTCGTTTTGGTCGCGGCCTCAGTTCAAGCTGACGGCTCTATAGTTATAAACGCACATTTGTACTTACATTCAAACATACTCGTACAAGGCTATATAGTCACTGGCATGGGTGTTTGTCCTTAAGCGTTGATGATTTGTACGTATCTGGAGTGACATTTCATCCCTTGCAGGCTCGCTTGGGCAGACACGGCGCACTCCACCTTCTTACTTCTTAATGTTCAAAACATGTTTTACACTCTTCTTCATTAATGAAATACAAAACTATGACCCGAAACGCCAATCGCAAAGCCCAGAGAGAGACAGATTCCCTTTTCCAATTAGAGCTACTGACAGTCAAGCCTCTCCTATGTTTACAGTTGTGGTTGTCGCATTTGTTCCCAAAAACACAACTCAAGTTTATACTTGTATATTACACGCCCTATTTGTAACATAAATTCAATAAGCGTGTTAAAAACGTTGCATTTTAAAACAATGCAAGCTCCAGATCCATTCCCATTTATTAGATGCCTCAGCCCTACACACTCATCACACGTTCAGGCAGCTGACCTCAGACTACAAACATATTATTTCTTTTTTTTTTCAGCTGCCTTATCAAATGAATCGTGCACCCTTTTCAATTTGAGGAACGCGCGCGAAAAGTGTAATTGGCTGGTATAATCGTTCGTACGAGAACGTACGAGTATGTATCTAGATACGGGCAACACGAAATAAAACATTCTGGAGTGCGGATAGTGACACCTTAAACTGAACCGTAGCTGTCCCGTAGCAGCCCAGGACGAACATGTTTGCCGAAAAGCAAAATGCAGTAATTTGTATGTCAAACTCCATGTCAGCCCGAATAATGAGATGTTTTTGTAATGAAAGAACTAACAATATTATTATCACTTTTAGCTGACATCGCCATAACAGCTAGACGGTTGCTATAAGTACATGTTGAAGGATATAAAGTCGGCTAACGATAAATGCATAATGACAGCAATGCCATTCAAGCAAAACGAAGCATAAACAACAAAATGAAATAATTGCTATAGAAGCCAGAACAAACATACATCTTTATTAGCACATTATCGGAAAGAGAAAATCTTAAAGTAGGTGAAAATAGGTGCACAAAATAGTAAATTGACGTACATGGTTAAGTATTCAAATTATTGATGATAGGCCGATTTAAGTACGATTGGAAATATAGTCGTACTGATCACAAATATAAAGTGTGGTGTTTGTCATTCTTCATTCTTTAACTACTTACTCTTTGAGTACAGTGTATAAGCAAAAAGAGTCACCCTGCCCATATTGCCAACACACTACACAATTAAAAATTACTAGTTTCGATCTTGTAAAATAAGTTAAATGAAATTCTTTAAATTTAAATGTTGTAACTCATAGAAAATCTGGCATTTGAATGATACAAGTATATCGATTTAAAAATTTTCAGCAAAGACCTGTTGCCTAAATTGCCAGATTTTCTCCTTCAGTTGTAAAAGGATATTTTTATACAGTTTGTGTTACCGAAAAATTGTTAATCGACATAATACCGTTATTACAAACAATGTAGACCGTAGTATTGCCTTTTAAAACAGTTTAAATGAGGATATACCCAATTAAAGCTATTAATTGGCAGCATTGTTGAGAACTCTTGTATTTGTCATGCCGCTATCACGCCCATAAATACATACATACATACAGCGCACCCTGTATCTTTTATGTCGGTGTGTAGATATTGAATGGCTTTGTCATTAGTGAACCGATTGACTTGACCAGTGTTGAAAACCTCAGTTCAAGAAATTGTACAGAACCAAATTAAATAAAAATATCTCATACTTCAAAATCGGTTGTTTATTTTCAAAGATATTCAGTGTTTACATACCGACATAAACGATGGCGCACCCTGTATGTGTATGAACTATCGAGCAGTGGTTTGATTTATATGTATATATTTGTGGCTATAACTCTCTTCAGAAGTGACTTGTCATGATGAAACTTTGCATAAGCGCACGCAGGTACTAATCGAATGTAGTTTCCAAAATTCCACGAAAAAGTATATATATTCTGAATCAGCATGACGAGAGAAATCGATCTAGACATGTCCGTCCGTCCGTCCGTCTGGATGAACGCAAGGATCTCAGAAACTATAAAAGCTATAATAACCAAAGTTGGCATCCAGATTCTCCTAGGTCCGAGAAAGGACGAGTTAATTTTCACCCGCTACAGAATTTCGTCAATAGCGTCCACTTTTCAAATGCTACCTAAACCAAACTTTGCACACATAGTTTATATATAATTGTCTACTGTTGTTCAATTCAATTCGGTCAATTCTAAGAAAAGTTATTAGCAAAACAAATTCTCACCAGTACAACCCCCCAAACTGCAGCAACAAGTTCGCTCTTCTTCTTCATCTTTTTGCTGCTGCTATGGGCGCATATACTAACTCAGTGACGGAAGCTTACCTGGGCACAGTGTATTACACTGTCGGACTTGCTCGACTGTAGCGTTCTCTCTTGTTATGTATATTGTTATGGCGAAAAGCATTTCAAAATTTTCTTTTTAATTTTTCTTTTTTTTATAAATTTTTAATTTATAATTATTATCAGTAATGATAATATAACCACGTCCAATTTTTAATAATAGTAGCTATCTGATATATAGGCGCGATCTGGATGAAATTCAGCTGACGAAAAACCTCCTTAAATGGATACAAACCAACTTTTGTTCAATTCGGATAAAAATTTATGTACTAAGAGTTTATTCTAAATCGGTCAGTTATATGGGAGATATATAAGATAGTTGTCCGATTTCGACGATTTTAATATATTGTCATCTGACTAATAATTTTCATAATAGCTCCACTATAACTATTATTGTCGCTTACTCGCATACAAGTCCGACCACTGTGCCAGGTCTTGACAGTTGAATAGGAAGTAAGAATCAAAGATTTCACGATGAAAACAAGATTAATTACGTGATGAAAGCATTATTAAGCCTAAAGCCTAATTGAAATATACATTGAATAGACATACATATATACAAAGTTCTTCTCACCTTAGGACTTACTAATGCACACAAATATACAAATTTTGCTCCTGGATTAGTTGCTATCTACCTGCCATCATTCGCACACAACTCTAGTCATGTTAATTTCAAACCCGTCTCCAAAGAATTAAACAATTTAATTTTTGCCTATTACTTATTTAATTTCACTTGAATCTTGTTAATCTCTAACGTAACAGCTACGTAAACATTTGAAATATTGTGTGGTGAGTCACCAGAGATAAACTTACCACCAAAATCCGTGGTAGAGTTCTTGTTAAGGCATGTTTACACAACCAAAACAAAATGACATGTATTTGCACATACTGATGTATATTTAAGTGCGCAACCGATTTTCACACTGATGTTTATATACATATATACATATATATATAAATATGTATGATTTTGTTTAGAAGAATAAAATAAATTAAGAAGAATTGAAAAGTGGTGTGACAGTGCCAAGAACTGTAAGCAATCGCAAAATTACTAAAATAATTGTATACAGTTTCGAGTTTTATTAATAACGAATAACATTTATAATTTACTAAATTGGCGAAACTGAATACTCTGATGGGAATTTGAATGTATGTCTTCCAGTGGACAGTACAGATGGGAGTAGCCCAGCATTCGGTATGATATTCCACGATAAATACAGTGAAATGTTTTTATTATCCCTGCAATAACAAAAGGAAATTGTAAAATTATGAGACTAGCGTTTTGTATTTCAATGCTTACTTTAAACCATTTCCATCATCCCAGAAATAGTATTTGGTGTTCATGTTTTTTAAATCCAGAACAGCATTGTCTCCACGTAGAATGATCTTATCCCAAAGTACTACTTGGTTTAAAAGATTCTCTGAAGTCTTATATTCTGCAGTCAAAAAGAGAAACAATTGCTTGACGTTCCAGTTGAAAACATCTGTTAAATTAGTTTCTAAATCAAAAGTTACGAAGCCCAAGTCATGTTTTTCCCGCGATGCTCCATAATCAGGGACATTTTTACTGAAAAAAATTACGATATGGTGGAAATGATTAAATATTTGATAAATGTAACACAAATGTTTATATTTGTGTATATCTTTCAGACTACAAAATGCAAAATGCGTTGGCAAGTAGCAACAACATAGCCTTTGCCCGAGCAAATAAAATAGCAGCGGGTGCCTCCTGATGCTCCGCCCAAATTGTTATCTATTAGAACTCCCAGTTTCGTGTGAATTCTGAACTTCTACGTTACTAATTTGGAATAAGGAATGTCATATAACCAATATTGTTGCTTTGTGACGTGTACCTTCAACGTATACAATATTTGTGGTGGTGGTGGTTACTTACACGAGAACCCTTACGGTATTGATGTTTGCATTTGTCCTGTAATCTAGGAACACCGTCGATAGGAAGCAGCAAAATGTTAGGCAGGCGAGAACACTTAGAGAATAAGCAACAGTTGCATTGCCCCTTGTTAAAACAGTATGCATTTTTTAATTTTGCAAACCCAGACTTGACACGCAAATGGCTTTCGGCTTTCGTTCTAGAGATGATCGCTTTTATAAATAAATCAAAACGCAACTTTGCTGAATAATCGATATTGCTGAGACATTGCGATAACTTTCCACTAGTTGCAGCAACTAATTTTTTATTTATTATTAAAACCTTTGTCTTATTCTCTATTAGCTTAAAATTTTATTGATATGGCTTTAGAATTCAGTCGGCTTAGATTAATTTTATTACATAAAAATTGTATCTACCTATCGCCGCCAAAAGACTTTTTTATCGATATGTATCGAGTACTTGCTCATCTACATACTTTGCTACAATGTGCTATCACTAACAAGTATATCATTGAAAACAAGGAAAAATGAATCCGGCGACTTTAATTTTATCCTACGGAGAGGTTACACCCATAGAAATTGCAAAAAGTACGTTGATGGATGTTATGTTTTTTATGTAACGAAATTACATTGAGCTCACTGGATATCAAAGCCTATATAACGACCCAATCTAGTCTTAAATTTTGTACCAGCTACAGTGTATCATTGTATTTGAAACTAGGCTTAATTTTATTAATCGATTTTCAATGATTGTCATTGTTTAAACCAAATAGAATACTCTACGTACATAAACACAATGAAGACCATCAATTTGCGTTGTTTACATTCATACATATGCAATACATACATATGCACATTGGACATACTATACATGCATAAGTAGGTGTGTGTGTGGAAGTTGTCACTTAATCCAAACTATCTACATAAAGATACGTCGCCTCATATTTGAATGTTGTTTAATATCTAGTCGTTCTGTTTTAAAGAGATGTGATATCAGCTATTTCCTGATAATAGTACGCTAAATGTTTTTGCTTACTAATATTTTTTGCATTCTTATTTTCAGATATTTTAATAGAACTGAAACAACCTGTAGAATCAACGGTCGGTACTCATGATGCTTTAAATGTCCATTATTATAAATGCAGTATTGAGACTAAGTACTATAGCAATAGCATATATTTAATACCTTTTGAAGGCAAATGTGATACTGTCCCACAGGATATTTTAAAGTCAACAGAAGCTTTAATCATTTATTTTGATCCCAAAGATGTAAGTATACAGTTAAGAAAACATTACGAAACATTAATCCATTACCAATTATACAGAAATCGTTTTTAAAATGCTTACCCGAAATAAACGCATTCTTTCAAAATAATGAAATACAACTTGGATTTCTAATAACAACCACATTAACTGGCGACAAAAATGAAATATCATATCAAGAACTAAAAGAAAAGACAAATTTTTTATTTGATGTTATAACACTAAAAGGCGATGTCGAAGATGAAACTGAAAGTGATTCAAAAAATAATTACACAGAAGTTATTGAAGGACTGTCAAATTTTGTTTGGTCAAACGTTAATCTCAAATCGAATGCGTGTAAGTAATAATTTGAAAATTTTTCTTTATATTCAATTCAAGAACAATTTACAATAGTATTTCGAAAACAAATGAATTGAAATAAAACTACAAATTCTTATAAAATATTTAATTTTACAGGCTCACATCAAAGGAATTCCAGTAATACAGAAGATTTGGAAAAGCAATTGATTGATTTCGAAAAACTGCTTATATCTGCTCAAAGCTTACGCAATGGCACACGATTGAGCAGAGATGAATTCTTAGATAAAGCTGAAGAACTGGCGGAAGTAATGTCATCAATTTTAAATGATAATGACAGCGACTAAATTAAATGATGTAAAATTATTTTATTTTTTTATCATATATCAAAATAAAAAATAGGTATATTAAACACGATTTTGATAAGATAAATAAAAATTATGTCTATGATGTTGAGTTAACTGATAAAGTCTTCTACCTGTGTATACGGAAAGCTCCAACGAAATTGCGTTAAAAAATACGATTTCAATAATTGCAATACAAAACCACCATGTATTTTTACCAGTCAAATGAATACATTTTTAAACAAGTCACAGCGAATGCTCGCGTTCATCGAAGACACTTTTAGCGTAATTTATCTAAACATAATTTGGGAAAAATATGTATTAGTGAAATTCATATCTAAACACTACTGATTATTACTTACACATCTAGACGCAGTCTCGGCACTTTCTTCAGTTCGACAGCGGATTCTCGGCCTAGTAATCTTTGGCAAGTTTGTAGAAATTTCAATGTAATAAGATGCCTGCATCTTACTTGTAGATGGTGTGGTCCCAGAATTTGTTATCAGAGGGTGACAAGAAAGAATTTCACTAAGATGACTTTCAAAAGTTATGGTGGGATTGCCATCACATAACGAAAATACCCGTACAAATTCTGTAGAAACCAGAAGACGTAATCTCGCTTCTTTATCGCTCCATAAATTGGGCTCATAAGATATTATTTTCTCATCGAAATTTCTGCGGTTTATAATGTACAAATATTGTTGACCTTTGCTTTGTCGACTGGAGTATGAAGGCAATAGGCCGCCAGGAGCACCAGTTACACATCTGGGTAGGCGTTTACGATCTGGCGAATTTCGATGGGTACCTCTGCTTGTTTCACGCACAGCACTGGCAGTTTCGGAGGCCAAGTCTAACACGCCAATAATGGGTTTTGTGACGGTACCAACCAATCCTTTGCCCAGACCGCTAAGAAACCCCGGAACACCATCAGCTTGAGCGCCATCGTATGTGTGTCGCACAATGCTGGTCACACCACCAAGCAAACCAAAGCCAAATCCCTTAATGCCGGCAGCCAGGTGACCGCTTGAGGTATTTGATTGTAGCTCCAGAATTCTCTGCCGTGTTTCGTTATCGTGATCGTCTAAAACAACTCTCCCAAGGCTATCTGATAGTGTTTCCGTTAACTTTGCTGTAGAATTTGAAATTCCATGCGTTACATTTTTTACAAGACTCTTCACCGACCCTTCAAAAATCAGTCCGGATACACCTTCAGACAGATCATTTGCGAAGCCCAACGGGTTTCCCAAGAAATCCACACTTCCCAGTATTGATGCTGCGTGCCATTTAATTTGGTTTACGTAATGTATCTTCAGGGCTCTTAGATAAACATCCATTGTTTCAAAGTGATATTTGTCCGAAAACTTATCCAATTCGATCAATGCGTCTTCAAATTTGATTAGAGTGAGCCCCAAAGCTTTTTTGGTTTCCTGCAGCTCCGGCGGTAATTTTGATGAAGTCAAAGCAGATAATCGAACCTGTCACAGAAAAATATGATTACTAGTATCAAAAAATATGGTATGGGGAAGAGAAATATGTACCTGCGTCGATCCAATACTGAAATTTTCAAAATAATATCTCTTCATATCTTTTAACATCATTCTCTCTTCAAAATCCTTAAATTCATTGGGGAAATGTAAGCTGGAGCTATTGACATTGAACTTGCCATATCCAAGAAAAGAAGCCACTTTGAGTATTAGTCTTTCCTCCATATACGCTATGCATGGCTTCATGTCCAGCGTTAGGTATTTGAAAATAATGGCGCTCTTATTTGGACTTGGCAATGTTTTCAGTTTAAGTACAATGGCATTCTTTTGTGCATCGCTATTGCTTATCTTGCTGCTATGCAACGAAACTGGAGTAACAGCATCAAGCAGCTGGTTATCTATTTGAAAATATGATATTTTTAAGTCCAACGACTGTTCTACATTGCTATGTATAATATCCGCAGATATGTTTTCAAGACTTATATACATTATTTCCTCGCAAGGTTTGCGGGTAATGATTGATACGCCAATACCTTTGGGAAGCTCAACGCATACCTTCAAGAAATATAAAAAATATAAAAGGTATTTTTTTCATGGGGTGTAATGTATGAGAACAGAAATTAAAGACTTACCAAATACTCATATAGATCGTGCTGTTTCCCCTCGTCAACAATTTGTCTGTTGTTTAGGGAGGCGTGTGTCCATAACAAATCAGGCGCTAAACATATATCATTGAGTTTTAACTTAATATCACATATTTGAACCGTGCAAATGGGCCCATCCATTTTCATTGATACTTCAAGCTGTCCTGAGCCAGGTCTTAGTTTTTGTGCGACAACATTTTGTTCAATTGGTATCGTTTCAGCATTTGGTAATTCAATTCGCCCCAATCCCGCTTCAGCATTAGGTTTTAGTCCCATAAGACCACCAAAAGCCTGTACAAAATAATTGCCATAAAAATCCATAAAAATAAAACATAAATTATTGGACGTACCTGAACGCACATATTGGCGTGACACATTAAGCGACCGTTTTCGAATCTCCATGTTTGTGTTGTGATCCTTTGTTTATTAGGAGCTCTAACGACTAGCTTAGTAAACTGGGTAGGATTAGGTGGTCTTTCCAAGTCAAGCACCATACGTACAGAGTTGGATTCATTTGAAGGAAATGGCGGAGATGAGCCTTCATGTTCTATTTGACCATTTGAATTCATCAGCCACAGCTGAGAGCGGTCTCCTGAGTTCTTTTCCATAATAATAACCTTCTTATCTCGAACTCCCAAGACCAACTGCTGATAAACCAACTCATTCTTCTTGATATCAGAATTGAATTGATCAAATGTCTTATGAAATGCTATATATATAAAGTTTGAGTATGTTAAGCCTTTAATCGTGTTTGTCTTATTAATGGGAAACTCAATTGTATTGCCACCCGGTGCTTCCATAAGTAATGTTTGATTCCCCAAGGGATCGTCCATAACATATGATAACGACGATTGTGGGCGCACTGGTGTCGGCCAATGTGGTTTGGAACCCATTTGGAAAAACGTGATTACTACCTCGGAACAGTTATCAATTCTAATAGGTGGGGGCAGGCTTCTGGCATCCGTAAATAATAGAACATATGTAGCTCCTTTGGAAATAACTTCCAATCGCAAGAAGAACATTTCACCCCATTCATTTCTCACATTGATGTACAGGCTTTGCACTTCGTTAATGGGGATGCCCTTTGACCAGCAGCAGAACTCTACATCGGCTATACGCACACAAATTAATGGTTCTCGATCCCAATTCGGCCAATGGAAGGGGAAATTGCAGTCAACGGGCGCTGATATAATATTGTGTGGCTTTATATCCTACAATTGTTATAAACAATTTAAATATGGAATGGTATAGGTGTTTGTAGACTACTCACTAATTTGGCAATATCACATTTTTGGGCAAACTCCAATTTGTATCCACTCTTGTTATGCAATTGGAAACGAGGAGACAACGTTACAAAAGTGGTACACGAATATATACCTCTTCCTCGACGCACACTAATGCCTATTGCATAACAACCATTTGTATGTTCCGCTCGCAGCTCTCTGTGTGTTATATTCTTATGAATGCTAAAACTTTTGCACCACTGAAAAAATTTGGTACGTATTATGTCTGTAGCAAGCCGATATATACAGTAATGCAATATAAATGTACACCTACCAGATTATTGGTACCGTAAGAGCTTCCCAGGCGTACTTCTAAGGCAGGGGATCCCTCTTGATCTGAGAACGAAAACATCAACGGGGAAACTTGACGTGCACGCTCATGCTCATCGAATTGCCCTGAAGCGGTGTTGCTTGCTCCTTCTTGCTTATAAATAAGAGGAAGGCCGGTTTTATTTATTATCCACACTGGGGCACTTATGTATATTTCCATTCCTTTGCCTTTGAAATACTGAATGGATATGCGCAGATGAAGCTCTCTGTTTTGAATATCAATTAACTTTAGCTTTGGCTCAACAATACCATTATGACTCATTGGGACTTTCAGTTGACCTGATAGTTGAAAATTATCCAATGTAATGCTCAAGTTAAATGATTCAGAGATATTTACATTATATATGTTAACACTTTCCGAAGAACTTATTCTGCCCGAAGCGCTTCCATTGATCTCATAAATAAGATCACAACACAGCATATTGTTTAGCTTTAAAGGTGGTAGCAGGGTAATAGTGTGTCCCGGCAAATTTGGTTCCTTGCCAAGATAGATTTCTCGGGTCATATACATTAATGTATATAATATGCTCTTATTAACATCGTAGCAGATTTGTAAATTTTGCACATAGTCCTTTCCACAGTGCTTCCAAGATATTTCATGATTACTGAAGCCAACTTCTTCAACTTCGTTTCCAAAATTTTTAGAACTCTTCAACTGGTCTCTATTTAAATTATGCTTGATGTATAAGGATGCATCGATAAATTTTAGAGGTATGCATTGCTGCTCCTGGGACCCAATCGCACAAATATTCGAAGTGCTTTCATATTGATCGTTGACCGCTACCATTTTTAGGATGATTTCGCGATCCAGCTTGTTGATTACACTTAATGCTGATCTTACTTTAATAAGCTTCTGCGCAGATCCAATCAAAGATATTTCAAATACAATGCGTGTCTTTTTCGCATAATGTGCATCAAGATTAGTAGCCCGAAAGAAAACACCTACTTTGTCGATGGAAATGGGTCCAATTAGAGTCCATCCGTGAATTTGCACTAAAATCTGATGTAAATTCAGTTGGTGGGAATCTATATGCCTCATTTTAGTTTTGTGACTGAAATCAAAGGTTTTCACTTCATTTGGCTGTACAGAAATCCAGTTCTTAATAAGTTCCTGCTGATGCGTGTCCAAACATGCAATATCTCCTAGTTGTGCATAAATTGGTTTAAAAAGCAACGGAGTACCGGTAAGATTTTGCAATGCAAATGGAATGAAGGGCGTGCGCTGTCTGAAAGCTGCATTTTTATTCTCTTTATCAGAGAAATCATTAGTCCAATTTTTAAACACCATATTAAATAGTTCAATTAGTGTCGACGTGATATTAAGTTTCAATATCTGTTTGCTGTCTATATTTATTTCAAATATATTCTTTTTATCTGTATACGTTTTGATATATTTCCACTTTCCCGTGCATTCCCAAAGCTCAGCAACAGGCTCCCATCCACTTAGCCGTCTATTATAATAATTTATAGACATTTCAGTTTCAATATCGCCTTCCGTCAAATACGTTGTGTTCGAGTTATCCTTTTCAATTTTTTTGGTTTTAAATTTGTATTTAAGTAGCATCTTTGAAAGAGAAATTTCAAGTAAAGGCACATCAGCATCCATGCAGTCATCAATCACGCATATAGATATCAAATTAGCATCTAATAAAGCATTTTTTAACTCTAACGCCGGATTTGGGTTTGTGTTATGTTTCTGTTGGGATAGCCAGATAGCAGATTCATTTAATTTCCAATTGTTAAGCTCCATTGCACTCCAGCAATCTGTTATTTCAAATCCCATTGCGAGGAGTGGTGCTATTTTTTCGAAATCCGAATTAGTTTTTGATAAATTTGTTTGCGACTGTGCTGTTTGGCTGGGTATTGACTGTAGCATTCGCGAGAAAAGTTTCATGTCTACATATGATAATCGTATATTTAAATTTTTGTGGATAAATACACCCAAGCAATTGTTTCGCAACTCTATATTGAGAGTAAACGGATCTATTATTGATAAAGCACTTTCATCTTCAGCATCCAGGCTGCAGGAGAAAATTTCCAAATGATTTATGTTTATTGACAATGGTAGAGAATTACTGTTGGGCTTATATGAAATAACGGTGGTACTTTTCAGTATGATTGCATTAGAATCCATCTGACTGCATTGTTCAACGAAAATGATTTCAGAATCTGTAATATTTATAACAAACTCATTTATAGAACTGTTCTCCAAATCACTACGACTTTTGCTGATGACTTGACTTGTTAAGTACTGTATTGGGGCCGAATTCAGAGGTTCCTCTTGTATATAATTTTTGAATTCTTCCAGAAACCTTAAAATTGCCATAACTCTCATATTGTTTAGCATTATGGTGTATTTGCTAGAATTTAGTCTTTTCCTGCAATGAATTTCGGCTTGAACAGTATTGTTGGAGAGCGTTTCTTTTTTAGAGGGTTGCAATATATTTCTAAACACATTGACATTTTTTGTTTCTCCCCCTGTTCTTTCGTCAACTATAAGTATATTGCTCGATATTAGGTCTATGTCTTGTGATCCATCGCTGAACGAATCTATTTCCAAAGATGATTTTATAAAATGTATGCACGTTAATGGCTGTAGGCTTTTCTTTGGTGTGGAATTTAACACGAGCAGTATGGACACATCCTCTAGTAATATTGTTATTGAAAGCAAATTATGGACCGTGGAGCGCGCTTGTTCCTTTGCAAATTGCTGCAGTGCGGACAATTTTTCAATTGATTGGCAAAGATTGTTTGCGTAGTTGTAATAAACATCATCGATTTGCTCGCCCAAATTGTTGTTTAGAAAACTCTTTATAAGTTTATATTGTTGAATATCAAGAATACCGTTCAATTTAGAAAATGTTCCTTTAACGCTTATATCTGGGCAGACGCGATCAAAGTTTGTATTTAAATTACGTTCAACCTGAAGTTTAAGATAGCAAGACTCATTGAAAAGTTTCCTTCCAAGTATAGCAATGTCCATATTTGCAATAACTATCCATTCCCCAGAATTATGTTGTCCAGATTTTGTTATATCCGTGCAGCGCTCGCCAGAGAACAAATTTATGTTGACCAAATCGATGTGCATAACGTCCAAAATCTCAGTTATATTTGCAGCATCTCCTTTTTTACTTATAACGCACTCATCGCTTGCAAAATGAAAGCGGTTTTTTAGTGTAAACTTCCCGAGGTTTGCCACTAATACATAATTACTGTTATAGCTGGCTGGTAACACTATTAGCGGCGAGTCCGCTTGAATTGACAACTTTATTTTCGATGGCTGTGATGTTCGGTCTCTGTCCACATTTTGTAATTTCAACTTTTTGATTACAGGCTGAAAAACGTTTAAGCATATCAATGAGAACACTATTCGGAACATCGCAGACAAATTACCGTTTGTAGTTGCAGCAACTCCTTAATAAACAAATGTAGTTCAATCACAAAACGTTTCGTATGTACGTAGTGAACCGAAGACATATTTATTCGTAATATCGAGTCAGAATCCAACGCTTGTAATGCTTCCAGCTCCGACAGTTTTCTATGGAAAAGAATTAGAATTGTTAAAACATAAGCAATAATAATCAACTGTAAGTTTCCTACTTTTTATAAACAAAGTTGACCGCTTCAGTTCCACTAGTTACAAACTTCTGCTTATATATATGACCAAATTTGGTGAGGTCGTAAAGAGAAATAGATCCCAAGCAGCCTTCAACAGTCTTTACATTTGTTTCTTGGAAAATAATAAATGTAGCGTTGGAGACATTCACTCTTGAAAGCTGTGACTCGTTTCGTATCAGTGTAAAATTAAGAGATCTTATTGATACTCTAAGCTTGCTGCAAAACTCATTGGTACCTTTATAGGAGAGTATATTAAATATTATTTAATTATTAACTAAAAATGTTCAAATACTCACTTTCTTGTGAAATATGTGGCTTTACTTGAAAATCTTCATTTTTCCGTGTGTTTGAAACAAGCCCAAAAAAGTCAAAAATCATAAACCATCTATCGACGCATATCGCCAAATTCAGGCAATTGAACTCAATCGAACTTAATTTTTCGGTTTTAGTTCGGCCATTTTCTTGTGCTCTTGGAATGCTTTGAATGTGTGATTTGTAGATAACTAAGTTCTCATTTTTCCGATCGTTAAATTTGTTTTTTTTATAAAATCCAGATTGCAATTCCTTATGGAAGCTGCTCAGCTTAACAGAATCGTTCAAATTGCACGGCATTGACAAAGACATATTTTTGTATTTGCTAAAGAGGTTTGGCAAGTCCGGACAGGATGACGAGGTCTGTTCTTTTGTTTTAGCTCCCTTTTCAAGATTTATAGACGTAACCATACTTCGAAATGGTGATGTCATTTCGGACTTTAAGTCCTCCATGAGCACCGATTTCAAAATGATTTCGAGATCTGTTTCGTTACCTCTAATTTGGTTGTTTACTTTAAAATCTTTGAAGATTATGTTGATTAACGTCTCATGGTGTTCATTTTGTAGGTTTATTTCGAGAACAGGCACTGAGAATTGTATCGTTGTCACCACACTATTCTCTTTCGCATCTATGCTGTTGTAATTTGTTGTACTGCTACTCAATATATCTTGAACCGCATCGCCCGGTGCGACTCCATATGAAAAATTAGTAGCATTTTGTATGGAGTCAATTAGTTGTTCATATTGCTTTCGAAACAAGGAAATTTTTAGTGTTTCTACCATACTTCCTTCCACCTAAACGGAAGAAAATAACTGTATAGTAACTACAATAAAAATTAAAGTGTATTTATTCGTACTTACGGAAAATGTCTGAACATGATTTTCATCGTTGGATACACACTTGTATGCTCTCGAGAATTTTAAGGATATTGCTGTGTCATGCAATATAGGCACAGCGTCATTTTTGCAAGAGTACATTTCCTTCGCTTTATATATTGTCATTGATCTATCCTCCACCTCAGACATTATGTTCAATGAGTATAAATTGATGTTTCTTATCTCTACATCATATGTTTCGATAGATTCCCCACAAAAGGGGTTTACGTTGTTGTAATGATTGGTATTACAGCAACTTATTTTTCCCAAATTCGCAACAAGAACTTCGGTACTTTCATTGGAAACGGGGAGAATAATAACCGGACTGTTTATAATTACATCTAACCTGCAATACACAAAATTATAAATATGCAATTTTTGAAGTGAACCTGCTTATGTGAGGGTTTTGAATCCTGGATCGGCAATGTTTTCTGTGACGAAACCAATAGTACGGTACGGTGTCGCAATTGAAATTATGAATGTAAACAAAAAGTCAGCTGATATGAAGATGCGTGCATGAACCTAACGGAACAATATGATAATTCCCCTATTGGTCATATTTTACAATACACGAGCGAAAAGGTAAATTAAACTCGCAATCGTTATCAGCTGATTTGCTTTCTGCTTATTTATGCCTACCTGTTAGATTTTGATTTTTTTAATTTTTTAATTAAAAAATGCACGATGCATTTAAAAAATAACTTATAGCTGCCACTAGATTTAGTGGAGCTCGCATGTAGTTATGTGTAAGGTATTATGTACTGTTTGCTCATTCTTATATCTTAAAAGATCCTGTGTACCAAATTTGGAAAATATTTTCGATGCGTGTGAACAGACAACTAAAAAGAAGGCACAGAATTGAATGGGAATACGCAAAATGCAAGCCCTCAGAATATGTTAAAAAACATAATTTGGCATCGTAAATCCATGCCTGTACCAGGAAAAACAAATTTAAAACTTTAAAAATAATATTTTTACTTACGAAAATACTGAAAGTTTGTTTTGCTCTTCCTGATGTTGTGTTGGTTTTGCATAATAATTCACATCTTTTATTTGTTGTACAAATTCTTTTGCCATATCAGTTGCTTTGTTCCCAATTGATGTAAAAAATTGCCTTAAAAAGAAGAACAATAGAAATGCATTATATATAAATTGGAACAATTACCAGAAATGCTTCAGTCCCATTACTCACCGAAGGCTCCGTTTAAAATGGGTGACACACACATTCAAGTCCTGTAAGAACCTGGGACAATGAGTATACCATACAGAGGCCATTCGAACGTGTACTTTTAGAGCCGCTCTATCCGACCATTGTATTTTAAAATTTAGTGCGTTCATTTCTTCATATTTTTGGTCATCGAAGTTTGTGAAATAGATTTCATTAGAAAGGCGATCAATTATGGATTGTCTGTGTAGTTCTGAATTCGATGATTCTAGATTCTTGCCTACAGCAAGTATTCTTTGATGGCAAATGCCTTCCGGTGTAATATCAATAATCTGAATGCCTCCTAATGATCCCCTCACGGATACATCGGGTTGGATGGAAGCACAAATTTTTGCCTCACTCATGGTGAGAGTTCCAACTTTTCGAGCTATAGTGTAGTTTTCGCGGTTAATTGTATATAAAATCAAAATATTTAATCGAAAAAAATCGAAAACGATTTCATTATGACCGTAATTTAAGCCATCCTCAGATTCCTTTGGCGCAATAACAATATCTTTGTTTTCCCCTTTATTCGACATCAGGAAAATTTTCTGATTTAAAATCGTTCGTTTTGTAAAATCCATTAGTTCAAGAATGGTATCCTGGTTGGCTAAAATAAAAAATTTGTAAATGGTTTAAATTTATTATAAAGCGAAGGTTTGACCAAATACTTATAAAATACGATGACATTATCTCTGACGAGGACCTCTATACAACATGACAGAAACATTATAATAATAAAGTACTTAACTTTTCAGGGTATATTTTTTAAAATAAAATTATTGTTCCTATCGAATCTACTGATATTATATTTTCAAATTATAGAATAGCGTTTGGCAATATCTAAAACTACATTTCAATTGTGGATAAAATTGTCACCCAACTAATAACATTATTATACATTCATGGTAAAAAGGCTTAGTGTTAAGCTTTAGATCAAAATTGTTCGGAGGTTGTTAGTATCTAGAACCACATATAACGGATAGTTATATTTAAGGATTGTGCAAATTTATGTAACATGGTTTCTTAAATCGAAGTAGACATGTCCGTCGGACTCATTTTCTAAAGACATCTGAATTTTGGAAACGGACAAATTATGTTGATTCTCCTAATACCCTAACCACGTCATTTATATGTAATTAGAAACGTCAATACTTTAAATCAGTAAATCCTAATCCGTTACTACACGTCATCATCGAAATAAACATTGCTTAAATATCATATCATAGTATTGTTATCATATCATACCAATTATATCCAAATTATTAAAGGCAATATTCGTCGTTTGGAGATAGAATGGATTGTTAGCGTTAGGTGCAACAATTTTGATTTCTATAGTAATCAGAGCATTAAGACCCCCATCGTCATTGCCTTCCGCATCAAATCCTGAAATATTCAAAATATAAATAAATAAGTTCATTAAAGTCTTTTTTGTATGTAGAAACGTTTTACAGATTTATATATGTATAGATGTCTTTATGAATTTAAAACCCTTCAAAATATAGCTTCTAATTCTATTATTAAAATTTGTACTCTATATGTATTTATATAGCATGTGTACGTACCCTTTTGAATATTTTGAACAGCACTATTTATAATATGGGGACTTGTGGGGCGCTGGAAAATGAAATGATCCGGAGATCCAGGAGTAACCGGTGAGCAGGCGGTACTATGTTTTAGACTTCCTGAAAAACTGTCCATTCTGCAAATCGTTTATTACAATAGAAATTATTTATCTTCTTTAAGATTATAATACATTATAATTTACACTTACCCAACATGTCGATGACTTGCCACCAAAAGTTCAAAATCGGGACCAAAAGACTGTATAGCATCAACTAGGAGTAAGCCATGAACTGACATTGTAATATTTGTTTCCTCTGATGTTTTCACTAGCCCAGCACGAGCTCCAATAATTTGAAGTTCCGCAATGCTTTTTTCTTTCGACTGCATTTCAATAATCATTTGGCCAATTACAAACTGTATTACTAAGCGATTCTCACCACTACTATTTTCACTTTGTGTTTGCTCATCCAAATGAACTTTATTTTCTTCAGTGTTATCTGATTTATTGACAAGTCCTGTACTACATGTAATTGGGTGCATTATGTCAAAGAAATTATTTATGTTTTCTTCATTACCATGTATTAAAATAGTCGGAAGTGTTCCGATTAGTGTAAACGCCGGATAATCCGGGTCAGACGTAAACATGGTTCGTTGTTCCAACGCCAATGTTATATTGAATTTATCGATTAAATGAAAATTTGAAGAACTTTTTAGGCTCGCTTGCCATCTCTCCTGGTATTTACAAACCAGAACTTGCAAATCTGTAAGATGTATTGTATATTTGTTATAAATTTTCCTGTGTAGTGCAGTTTCAAGTTGAGTATCTTTATTGATAACTAATTCGTCAATCAAATTCTCATGTAATGTTGGCGACTCTGATCCACTTTTCTCTGATGCCGGTGGTGTAGAGCATGGCGTCATAAATGCTTCATCATCATCGCTCCGGTCATCAATTGGATCTATTACTTTTGAGTTTATTGTTGAAGCTTTATTTTGAAAATCTGTTTTAAGCATTTGAAACTTTCCGAAATCCATTAATATCATAAGCGAATTATTGACCTTGTAGTTTTCCAAGAATATTATACGAGGTGCAAATACTTCAATTTCAAATGTCCAACTTTTACGATGTGACTTTAAAAAGAAACAAAATTAGTATTAATGTCTAAAAAGGTAAGCAATAACAAACAAAATTTTATGACAAAAACCATGTGCATATATGTATATACATACTGACCTCATTCCCAACAAACATTTCATTCCAATTATTTATAAAGTTTTTCTTCTTTATATCGGAATTCTTCTTCCGTATAGTAATGGTTTTTTGTGATTTGTGGAAAAAGTTTAACAGCCAATGCACTGCATCTGTATTGTATGTGATATCCAAGCTTTTCGATTTGATGTTTAGGCTAAACTGTATTTGATTGTTGTTTTCATATCGTAGCTCAAACAGAGGTTCATCTACAGATGTTTTCTTCAGAGTATTTTTATTATCAGCTTGTTTTGCCATTGTTGCAGTGTCTAACTGTGGTTTTATTAAAAATGGATGTTTGGTAGCCTCGTTTGTTTTATCTAACAAGCATATCTCCCCTAAAGATATTCCAATAGCATGGGATGTTAATAGTGGATTTAATTGAAGAAACGAAGAAAAGTTCTTAAATTGCATTTCCATATAGTTTTGCATTTCGCTTCCGTTTTCTTCACTTTCAGAGTTTAGAATTACTCGTCCATTTAAAAGTTGGATAGTAAAGTATCCAAAGATTGCATCGCGTTTTATATCTGAAGAACTTTGCAGCGAATCTTCTAATGCTACTAAAATGTCATCTTCCAAATTTTTAAGACCTTCGTCTTGTTCTGAGTTTTGAGAGGAGTTATTTCCGTACCATCCCATCCAGTTTGGAAACCAATGAAATAACATGCCTTTCCCTTTTATATCATGAGATTTTAGGGATAGTCCTTTTGTGAAAACTTTTTCAAAACATATCCTGCGCAGAATTATCAAATCTGCTACATTTCTATCGCTTTCAAAAATTGATTTGAAACTCTTCTCATCTTTCGTCAAATTTTCATTGGGATTACGTATGAGCTTTTGGTAAAGCCGCATATATCGTAGGTTTTCTTGAAATGTTAGAAATTTTTCCTCACTAGTTTTTAGTGTAATACCGTGACAATCCAAAACATATTTCCACCACAGTTTTGGGTCTTCTAGAATGGTAAAGCCCGGTCGCTTTAGTCGGTAATTTCGAATTTCTTTTATTTTCCGAATTCCGGCAATTTTGTCCAGCATTTGACCATGTTGTATCTGGAATCAGATATATTATAAATATTAGAGATTTTAAACACAAATATACAAAATATTCAACCCGTAGCTCAGCCCACATAAGTGCAGACTTTACGAATGATGCTCCCAAATAAGTAATACATATTTGCACATGAGGAATGAAAAAAACTTACATTGGATAACGAAATGATAACTTCGGGTACCAGGATTTCACATGACACACGGGGTCTATCCTTTGAAAGAATTAATTGTTGACATTTTTCCCGTTTCCAGCGAGCCGTGGCACTGATGGGCTTGATAATAAATTTGTGTGGTCGTATTTCGCAAGTTGTACTCATACTCGATAAAAGTTCTTGATTTGAATATTTCTGACATTTTATGTCTTCATATAGTATATCCCAGTATAGTGATAAATCATTCAGCTCAACTATTTTATAGGTTTTTTCGTTATTAACCTGTCTATTTGCACCAGCAACCCAGTTACAATCACAGCTCTGAGCAGTTAATGAACCGATTTTGATACCCGCAGCAATTTGGCTGTTGGCCACATCCACGGCATCTTCATATCGAAAGTGGACATCGGATATTTTAAGTTCAATATTATCAATAATGTTGGTTGCCATATTAGTTCCATATTTAAGCCAACTATTGTAGGAGGAGAAGTAATAGGATTCGATTTGCTGGCCTTTCTCTGACCGCCATTTGGCTTCAGCAGCATCCAAGACTGTGAGCTTGTATTCCAGATCGACTACTTTTTCTTTGGTGTCATCCCAATTCTCAATATCCTTCGGACATATAACACAGAACAAGCCCTCCACGGAGATGCACCATGGAGAAGTTGTGAACTGGCGCACCGGTACTTGAAGTTTAATTTTACGAATACTGCCGGCAGAAACTTCAATCGGTAGGCCAAATGAGCGCAACGCGTCCTTCCGAATTGGCACATTTTCAAGCTCTACTTCACCTAAAAATAACGATAATGTTATTTTCAACTATTTGCCATTTACATAAATGATATCAGCACCTGATAACAATGCGACGGACAGCTGGGCGGAATTCAAATTTTCTAAATACTTCCCAAGATAGGTATTTAATACCCAAGTAATTAGGTCCCTCAGCATTGTCGTGTACCTCTGGGCGTTAAATGTTTACGTATTTTGTTGTAACATCCGTGAAAAATATAATAACAATAACACGCAAAAACATATGTTTGTCAAGGTAAGAACAATATTCCGATTGGAACACTAGAATAAAACATTGCAATCAGTGCGGGTATTTCACCGAACAAATGCAACTGCAGCAGAAAATTTCATTTTTGTATTTCTCAAAGTTATAGATCAACTAAATCCAACCAGCCGCAGAACGGTCATATGCAATAGTTTTATTGAGTTTAATAAATATTTATGATATGCCAAATAAAATGTATATGCTAACTTTTCTGTACTGTAAAATACATTTATTTGCAAATGTATGTCAACACGATCCTAATATGCACGTTGGATTATCATTTTTAAAATTATGTTATATGGTTTTATATACATATGTATGTACATATCTTTACTATGTCAAAATAATATACACAATATTGTGCAACTTTCAACTATGCTCTTTGAAATAAACTAGTTGCAAAGTGGTGAAAAAGGAACAGGGTGCTTCACGGGTAAAGAAAAGCCAGCTGCAGAACCAATGAAGTTATCGCATATCGATTTTTACAACAAAAGCAAATTCTATACATATTCTAAGAGAAAATTTTATGTTTTTTATTTTGTTATTCAAAACTGTGTATTATGCCACCGCCACGACCTAAGGGTACAGGGACAGGATATTCGACAGGGGCCACGCCCGCTCCCGCTAGGCCGAGCTCAAATACGCCCATGTCGGAGAGACAACAAATGGCGCTGCTTGCAAAAATCCAAATGACTACATCTTCAACAGGTAAAACACATGTATGTATAGTGCACCTCCGAGAATAATTGTGTTTTTGTTTGCCATTACATGTACATACATAAATACATGTGTGTATGTATGTATTTAGGCTTGCTAAGTTGCATGATATCTTGTCACTGAACATCAATGTTTGTGTTCGCCGTACATTGGTTGCGTCAGCTTAGAACGTTTGTAAATCTGAACATACATATGTACATATGTATGTATGTAAGTGATTATAATTTGTAGTTCATAATAATTACTTATGTACATATGTCTATGTATGTATATTTGTTCAGGATTAGCCCCATTAATGATTATCCTTCAAAGCTCGGCGGCAGTTTTGCCATAGATTTGTTTAAATGACGCTTACTTTTCAGTTTGGTGGAATTGTTATATTATTGATCTGTTTTTTGAAGATTTAAAATTTCTTTTTATTTAATATTAGATACAACCAGGCCGTATAGTAAAAAGAGCGATAACAAAAAGGGAGACACAGAAAGTGAGGAAAGCAATACAAATGAAAAACAACAGGAAGGACTTGAAGTGAAGGAGAAACCTGTGCCAGATGATTCCAGTGCAGACACTAAAAAAGATTCTCACATGGAACAAAATTCCACGCAGAGCTCAACGACTTCAAAACGTAACTATTCTGATATAGAAGAAGACTACGAAGAAACAGGAGATGATATAAAAAAGAAAAAACGAAAAGATTCGGATAATTTAAAGGATGTAAAAAGCAGTTCTTCAAAATTATCGTCAAGGTTTGAGAAGAACTCGAAATTAGTTGCCTCAAAAAGCTCGCCATCGGGCAATAAAACTAATGCAGCTGCATCGGACAAAGAACTAGTGGAGCTAAATAAGTGTGTCGATGTTGAAAACGAAACCGATGGAAGCGAAGATTACAAGAGTAATGATAGCTTGTATAACGGCGGTCCCAAAGTACCACCATTAAAAATTGTCATTCCGCAACAAAACTGTTCCATAGATGGAACAGGGAATGTTAAAATTGCCGCTTCACGAAACGCCGCGTTGCCATATGTCGTCAGCTCAAATAGTGATTCTGTAGATAATGTACTATCGAATCATTGTGTTAGTCCACACGAGAGCCCCCACAAGGTAAATGTTGTATGTTCAAATGTGCTTGACGATAAAAATATAAAACTGTTTAATGATGAAAAGAATCTGAGAGTCCTGCGCAGCTCCCACCGTAGTGGGGTCGCATGTGCTGAGCGAAGTTCTAACAATTCATCGCCACAAATGCAAAGTAGCTCTCCTTCACCGGCATCTTCAAACCACGCTAATGATGCTGCCGACGCAAAGGTGCCTTATACCAATATGACATCAAGCCCGTTACAAACAAATCAGCAATTCGATCATGAAGCTATCCCCAATGTACCAAGCCCTTCTACTTCGTCAACCTCCTCTTCTAAGGAAATAAATTCGTCTTCAAATGTTGATCTTCATCCACGCAAGCGAAAAATAAGACCGAAAAACGCAAACGACGACAACATGAAAAATTCAAACGTTTCTATGAACACAAACGCCGACTCCACTAATTCGGGAGAGTCTCATCCGCACGACTATCCATTTACAAACGGTTTTCAAATGTTTTTGAATATCCGAAGGCAAATCGAAAAGAAATGGAAACATTTGTATCCAGTTAAGCCAAGACCTCCCCAAGGCTATAACGAATACCTTTTAACGAAGAGGACATATTTATTAAATTCAAATGCTGTAAAACCAGAAATTACTATCCCGGAAGCTATTCCGAAGTTGATGCATGGAATTTATGAACAACAAGAGAAAGCTAGAATAGAATTAATGGAAAGACATACGGTTGAGCGGGATCGACTCTGTTTAAGTGTAGAACAGGAAATAATTCGAGTTCATTCAAACGCGGCCAGAAATATATCAGGTCAAACTGTACCATATTCCGTTTGTACATACTTGAAAGATGATGAAGTTTATAACATGATTACTCCGGAGCAGGACGAAAAGGAGAAAAGTGCCCGTTGTCGATTCAATGGGCGGTTATTACTCAGCTGGTTACAGGACGTAGACGACAAATGGGAAAAAATAAAAGTATGTAACCTGTGGCTATTCAAAAATTGTCTTTAAATTGAATAACTAATTGTGAAATTGTATTTAATCGTTTTAGGAGGCAATGGTTTTACGACATCATAATGAAGCAGAGAGCCTTCATGCTGTCCAATTAATGGATTGGAACATTTATTTAAAACAGCATAAATTATCCGATTACATTTACGAGTTAAATGTTGATAAGGAACATGTACCCATTGTGTATGTTGGGGACGACTTTGATCTTTTACCGGAATAAAATTAGTCTACTGTACAATATGGGCGAAAAAATCACAGTACCGTTGGTTTACAAATTACTTTTGGCAATCCTTATGATAAATTTAATCTATTATAAATTTATAGCTGCAACAATTTCAAAAATAAAGGAAATATTTTTAAACTTTACTCATATTTAGTAGTGTTAATCATGGGGTTCATGCAACTCAATTTAATTTTCGAAACATTTTGTTGAACAGTTGCTCAATCAACTTTACACAATACACACAAATTGTAATAAAGAAATCAATTCCTGTGTCTTAAAGCTTCTTTTAACGGAGTCCTATTGTCCACTTTTTAAAATGGTCGTTCTGTCCACTTAATCTAGGAGAAATAAAATCAGTTGCAGGAATACCCCTGGTATTTTTATAACACAATTTAGTATATTTAACATAGCTTAGAGATGTGCGTGAGTCGTATAAATATGCAGTAAAATGCGTGAGGGTAATAGAGAAACATATTGCTCTCTCTTCTCTAATGCGGCTTTAGTTTTTATTACTTGTTGCAAGCCGTGTGGAACGGAAAACATGGACCCGGCTAGAAGGAAATTAAATTTGCAGGTATGAAGTACATAGAATCCTCTCATTATATCATGCTATTACTTTGGGAAAATGTTGTTTCAGGGTTTGCTAAGATATGCTGTTGAACAAACTAATGGCGAAGAAGCGACGGTGCACGAAGTCGATCCAGAGGTAATATCATTGTTTCAATAAGTCTGAACTCAATAATGAAGCATGTTGAAGGTATATACGGTGGAGCTTGTTTTTCTACATATGTACATATGTATGTATGTATGTATGTACATGTATAGCTTCCATTTGTTGAAACTAACCACTAATGTAGAAGAAGTGATTCTAGTTGGTTCCATGATGACGCTATTGATCTGTTCAATATACAAATGTGGAATATTTCAGATTCAACTAATTGGGAGGACCCATAGAATAAGAGTCCAGCCGCTAATTATATGTAAATGTTACATCGGCGGTATATACCTACACATGTACATATTAATATGCCATATTACACATTCATATGCACAGTTTTGTATTTGTTTATTCCTAAAACTTTGTATGGAATAGATGTGAAAAGATTTTAGATGAATAGATCCTTTTTCACTCTACCCGTACTCTTCATATCCATATAGCTACTAACTTATACTTACGTTTGGCATTTGATTAATTTCAGCGTGCTGAATTCTTACAAAATGCGCTGAAATCCATGACCATCGATGTTATTCAAGAATTTGAAAAAGCAGTTGCCGTTTTGGAAAATCAATCGTCTACCAAATCTGAAAGATTGGATAGTTTAAATGTTATACGAAGTTATATTGATGATCTTGACTTGGCAAATAATTTTGTAAAATTTGGTGGTACAACTACAATATTGCGGTACACAAAGGATTCAGAAAAGGATTTACAAGCATTATCGAACGACATTATTGCAGAAATGTCACAAAATAATCCGTATTGTCAAAACCACTTTTTGAATGAAAATATCATTCCTCAACTTCTCATAAAATTAAACGACCCTGACGAAGAGTTATCACGCAGTTCTATTTATGCTATCTCTTCATTGATTCGGAACTTCGAGCCTGGTCTAAAAGAGTTTCTGCGAGTTGATGGAATTCAAGTTTTGGTATCTTGCTTAAGATCACCAATTACAAAGGTTTACATTAAATCGGCATTTCTCATATCCAGCCTAGCATCCCAGAACGAATCGATAAAAGGTATATTTTCTATTATACAGGAAAACTTGATTTTTCTGAGTTACACGTCTATGGTTTTATTGGACTTACTAATTGGGTGAGAATTCTTGTTACTTGCAGAAGACCTTATTAAGAATAACGCCGTTGAGGTACTACTAGAAAACATAAACTATATCGATGGATTCGATTCCAAATTGGAAACAACGCTTTCGGCATTACTATCGCTCTCATCGAATTCTAACTGGGCCATTACAAAAGAAAAACAAATGGAGGTTACGACAGTACTTAAACAAATAATTTCCAAAAATAAAGAGTTGGATAATTGTGAGGTAATTTTATTTTTTGTTAGTATTATTAATTTTTTAATTTGGGAAAATAATCAAACATTATACAAAAAAAATCACATGAATATCTTATAAAAGTTTTTTAAGATTTAAGCTTTTAATTTTCATAGGTGCCCTTTAATTATACATTTCAAAATTAGATAATACATTTTCTCATGCATTTATAGAAAAATGTTAATATTTACATACATATTTGCTTAATATGGCCTATAAAATTTAACGTTTTTACACTTTTGCAGGACACGGTAAAATATGCAGAGAATATTTTGGAATATTTGAATGGACAAAAAGCATAAGGATATTAAACTGTTCATCTAATATGGATTGTCAATATAAAATGTAAATAAAATAAACTACGTGACATTTTTATTCATATACAATTAACTTTGGGAAGCAAATGGTTCTTCATTGCAGCCGTGCAGCACCATACTTATGGAATGGTTGTCAAATTTTGTCAGACATTATTTGAAAATAAATAACAGTTTGGGGAAATAAATACTGGAAATTTTAATAAATACGTACATATATTATTGGAGCTTTCTTATGACAAAATGAAAATGAAACATGGAAAAATTGAAGTTGCTGTCAAGGCAACAGTTTTTTGAGGAAATTCGAACATTTTTCATTTATTTAACTAGTCGTTGTCAAATTATGAAAGATAATAATTAATAAAGTAGTGAGCTAAGTGATATGTCTATAAGGAAAGGTATGCACTTTTTGTATACATAGAAGGTCAATTTTATAAATCAAAATCGAATTTTTGTTTGTCATTTTCGTCTAACATTGCATGCTCGTGTGTAGCTAATATTAATCGTCATAAATCTTACCAAAATTAGAACTTAAGCGGTGACAGCAGAGTATGAAATTTCGTTGATTAGCTCCCAAATGATATTTTCACACTCATCACCATTCGATTTGGTTACAAGTGTACGCTTTCTCTTATAGAATTAGCTTATATGTGTATGCTTTATAATATGATTTTCTTTGTTTTACGATATATTTTCAACGAAGTTCACAAATCTTTATTTTATAAATTAAAGTTTTTCTTTTTTATATATGCATAGTACATAATTGGCTTATAAATGTAAACATCGTCACAAATCGAACATATTCTATATAAGTTTAAATGTTTATTGCTTGTTTTAAATTGTGTTAAGTTAATGTGCCTGCGGATCACACTGCAATAGCCGCACTATAGAAGGATCACTCTTTGCTCCTTCTATAAACTCATCCAAACTTAATTTGCCATCTTTATTTCTATCCATTTGCCGGAAAATCTTATCCGTCCTTTTCTCTGGAGTGCTTTCGTCTTCAGGCATTTTCATCACTGAGCCAACCATTTTGTAGATTGCCTAAAATAATTGTACATATAACTATAAAATATAACTCTTATAATAAAATAATACAATTTTACATTTAACTGCAATTTAATATTTCTGTAACAAACTCATTTAGGGTTTTCTTAAACACATGATTTTCTCACACTATTAGATAGTTTGAGGAAAGGATTTAGAAAAGACAGAACTCACTGTGACAATTTCAAGCATTTCCTGTCGCGATATGTATCCATTTCCATCTAAGTCATACATTGAAAATGCCCATTTTAATTTTTGCTCAAGCTTTCCACGGGAAGTTACACTCAGTGCACACAAAAACTCTCTAAAATCAATGGTGCCATCCCCATTTGCATCGAAAGTTCTGAATACATGCTCTGCAAACTAAAATAATAATTTATTATTAGCAATAAATTTTGTGAACGTATTTTTAATGACTTAAAAGAATACTTGCTTACCTTACTTGCATCGCCATATGGGAAAAAGTTACCATATATCTTTTTAAATTCCTCAACAGATAAGTGACCACTGGGGCAATCTTTAAGGAATCCTTTATACCATTCTTGGATCTCGGCATCTACATATGTACATATTGTTGAAAAATTTTAAGCATTATATATTATAATATATTAAAAATTCTAAAGCTAGCAATGTATGAATAGGAAATGGAAATAACTTTATATGTAAGATCCTCCTAAGTTCATAGGACACAAAAAATTAAATATTACCTGTAAACTCGGTATTTTGTTTTAGATCCTCCAAAACTTCTGGTTTAAGTTTACTATTTTGTTTTCCCATTTTGGAGAACTGGTACCATTATTCGCCTTATCTTAAATAAGAAAGAACACGTGTTTGTATTGATTGTTATTAGTTCGATTAGTTTCTTTAAAATACAGGTTACGAGAGTAATAAATTAGAGCGGGCAAGATATAGGACATGTTTTAGGGAGAAAGCAATTTTAGGTCAAAAACATATAGTAATACCAGATTCATTCACACGCAACTCCTGTTGATATCTTTCGCCTTCTTTGCAATACGTAAAACGTTAAATGTTAAACAATTATTTATGCCAAATTTAAAATCACAACTTAAAGAATTTCTAAAAATGAATTTAGCAATATTTAATTAAGTTTTGAAAGTTATATGTGTCTTCAATTTGTTCATGTCCATTCATATTTGGGAATCGTTCTATTAGTTTTATAACCTTGCATATATTACGCACACGGCACATCCCTCCGAAGGTTTCTTAAATGTAACGAAAACAATTAATTTAGATTGAGTATTTTTATATAATTTTAATATAAGGACTATAAATTAAATATTTATACATTTCATTACTGATTTCATCAAATACACACATATTATAGCATATATATATGTTTATGGTGCTAGCATCTTAGACAACTCTTCGTCTTGCAAACATCCTTTTAAAAATTCATCTTGAGTTAATTGACCATCGTTATTTTCATCCATTTTAGCAAAAATATTTTTTGCACGTTCCTCTGCCGAGTCAGCGGGACGATTAGATGAGCATGCGCCTAGCATATCATAGATTGCCTGAAAGAATGAAATTGAACAATTAGAAATGTCGACCAGGGGGCTTATCGACATAGATTTAACCTACACTCAGCTATACTTTAACAAAAGTTTTAATTGGGATTTCTCATGATTTCCAGTACATACATGCTACCTCTCTAATAGGCCTGACTTACTTTGCTAAAGAGGTTTATTAATTCTTACTCCATTGCGCGTCTCAAGGGCATTGCTTTCACATATGTGTCCCAGTCACGCATAGGCGACAAATGGCGCAAAATATATATGCGTGTACATTCAACTATTGATGTTACATACAAGTACTTCGGCTCTTGTATGCTTTGCACGAATTTATTCCTATATGTATTTATAATGCGTATTTCAGAGTTTCTGTTGTATAAAGGGTGTTTAAAAAAATAATCATATTTAACTTATTTTTCTATTAAGCTGCAAATTCTGTTTCATAACTCCTTTGCTATTGGCGCTTAAATTTTATATTTCCACTGACTTCTAAACCATTACTTCCTATACTATTCTGGCTTACGAATACTAGACATAATCTATTACAGAACTTTTCTAACGACATAAGTACCTGAACAATTTTGGTCATTTCTTGTATGTCGATGACTCCATTGCCATCAACATCATACATTCGGAAAGCCCACTTCAACTTTTCCTCGGGAGTTCCGCTCGACGTTACATCTATGGCAAGAAGGAATTCCTAGTAAAGACAAAGCACAATTTTTAGGTTCATTGCATTTTTGTTTACCACTTTGGTGCGCTTTCCCTTCATATATGATAAAAGGGGAAGAAAATACAATTTAACTATTTACCTTAAAGTCAATATATCCATTTTTATCCATATCAAATGTCCTGAAAACATGATCGCAAAACTCTTCTGCGTTTCCAGATGGAAAAAACATTTTATACATGTCAACGAATTTTGCAGGTGTCAAACGCCCATTCGGACAGTCTTGCTGTACAAACAAAACGTAGCTCACATTATTACAGAGAATATTATTTCAACAATTGTGATATACTTTACTCACCTTAAAACCTTTGTACCACTCTTTAATAGTGGCTTCATCATATCGGGTGTGGGTTTTCAAAAACTCCATGTCTTCTTTGGTTAAACGGTCTTTACTACTTAAGCAACCCATATTATATATGTATTCACTTTTTACTCAAAATATTTAATAAGGACTCTTGACCCGAGTTTTGATTAATATAATTATTTTGTGTTATATATTTAAAAATTTGTAGGTCTTTATATCGGATGGTAGGATTCGAGAAGTTTTATGCGATTGTTTCAATATTTACTTTTATGCGAAGAAATTTAAAATCAATATTTTCTGTAGTGAAATTTATTGCATTATGTTTTTGGTCTGTACCGATATGTACTTAATTCGTCAAACACAATACTTTGCAAGTATTTTTACTTATTGTTTAAATAAATTATTTGTAATACGTAGGTAAAGATTACAGTAAAATTTTATAAAATTATAGGTCCGTAAATTGCACGTCAAGTGTTCAAAAGGACGAAGACGGTGCTCTATTTGCGCATGCGCAAAAATTCTCTGTATACATGTCGATTATTGAGTTGACCATTTGGGACTTTTTTCTGTACTCAGGCACAAATGGTATTCACGTACATAGGGTTGTCAAAGAAACAGGTGTTTTATTTTTGATGCAATAACTACCTTTTTCCGGTATTACCTTTTTTAGCTTGGCAGGAGTATTATTTGAAATCCAGACATACATCTTAATTTATAAAAAAAAAGGCTGCAAACTAATTGAAATACAAAATTTTAAAAGATTATGATGTCAGTAAAAAAAACATAAGAATATTAGCTGAAATGCCCTTATATATTTTTTAGGAAAATGCATTTTAGAAAATATGAAATAAATTATTATTGGTGCTCAGGCGGTTAAGTATTCAAAGGGATGGCGGACATAGCTATGTACATTAAGGTGCTAAGGAAGTACTAGACACATACGATTTGAACCTGTTCAGGTCTGATTAACCACTATGTACAAAAAAAATCCCTTTCTTTATCCTTCTATACAAATTGTAGCGTAAACATTCGAATTTTAATTTTAAGTTGTTTTTAAAAACTGAATTAAATATAATACTTCGCAGCTTCTCAAAGTTTATTTGCGTAGAAGACTGTCGGATCTCAGGATTGATTCATTTATGGTTTGATGGATAGTATTTTTGCTTGTAATGATATAAAGATATGACTAATTTAAGGATTTTTACGTCCGAAACTTTGCAGAACATACATAAAATCTGAAAGATATTTGTATGTACATAGTTTCGGGGAAACAAAAACTGGCAAACGGACGGTAAATTTTTGATGAGAAGCTCAAAATAAGTAGTAGAAGAAAATATGTATTGCAACATCATCCCGATATTTTAAATATATGCCGGGCCACGTGCATCTTAGTGACCTCTAGTAGAAATCAATTTCTATAGCAGAATACTTTTTATGCGAATAAATGATACTTTCACGTTAGCCAGTCACAAGGACATCTTTATTGCACAACAAGAAAAGGGGCACGAGGTACAAAACCAATAAAGCATATTAACATTTGTGAATTTATACATAAATGTATTCATGATACGGGTTTAACATCATGGTAATACGTTTTGTTCCACTTTTAATAAACTTTTTACGGAATTTCGCATTTGATTTGATTTCATCCACAACTAAGGCATACATTTATTGCTTTCCTGCAGTATTAAAATCGAAGACGTTTGAGTCATGGGGAATGAGAATACATACATATCTAAACATGTATGTATGTACATATGTATGTATATGTATATATATACATACACTATATAAAAAGCATTTTTATTCGTTCTTTAAAAATAAAAACATTTGTTTCTTCTGCTTGCACGAACCGCAACGATTTGTACACAATAATACACACACACACGCTCACACAGAAACACGATTATGTGCATAGTTCGTTGAAGTTTCAATAATATTTCACCGCGTATTGCACGTGTAGTATAATTTTAGCAAAGAAAAAAGGGTGCACTAGAAACCTGGAGGAGGGAGGCATGTTCGTCACGTTGGTCATTCGAAGGGTAACTCAATGCACTAAAATTATGCTTCACCAATGGTCAGCTTAGCATAGGCATATTTGCATATACATATGTATGTATATGTATACATATGTATTATTAATATATTAAACACAAATTTCATCTTACCTGCTCAGAATCGTTCCACTCACACTTGTTTGAAAACAATTTCACATTCACATTTTTATGAATTTATGACGAAATCAAAACTGTTTCCTTTATATATAATATATTTTATTTATATTATCCTGAAACAACGCGTGAAACAGGGGTTGTGAGCTAGAGCTGGAAATTATCCAATATTCGCTTCGATTCGATGCTTCCGCCACTATCGATGGTTGCTGTTCAGCTCTGGGAACCAAGAAAAACAAAAGGGAGAATTGTTTTTGATTTTATTTACTATTATTTGTAATAATTAATTTTGTGCAAATATACGATTTCACTGATGGTGTTGGCAGTGGCTGTGTTTATAATAATTTATGGCTTACAAGGTAAGTAATAAATCCGAAAAGCAAAATGCGCATGTGTATATTTCAATGAACCAGAACCAGAGGCATGCGACCCGACCCGTTAAGATAATGAAAGGTAATCATTTCATTTTGGTCATTAAAACTGTATAACCAATTAATCTTGCATTGATATCAATATAAATGGAATCTTGGGACTAAAAACTATATTAAGGTAATTTAAATTCTGTTTAAAACTAAAGATCGTTTCATTAGAATAGAAAAAGATACAAAACATTTGATTTGACATTCACAACCTTAGCCAATATTTCAGTTATTTTTTTACTCTGAAATAGTGAGAATTAAATTCCTCAAATCTGGATTAAACAAATTGGATCAGGGTTTCGTTCAGTTTTGTTTGTCACTTTTTAAATAAATTTGTACTGAGAATTTCATTATTTCAAAGTACAAGTTAAAGATATAGAACAATGTGTACAGTAGTTTGGAACACACGGTATGCTAGCGATATTATTTGGACAAGTGTTTCCTCGATTAGTATCTTATGCATACTAATTTCTCTGCATTCTTCCACTTTTTTTTAAATCAAAATTCTTTGAAAAAAACTACGACGTTTTCTAGCTTATGCTAGTTTAGCATAAAATACTTTATTTCATTTCTGCATATTTTGCAAAGGCAGGGGCTTTTTCCATAAGAGTTATCCACGGCTAATACAATTAATGAATTCTCCACTAAATTTACACCCTCTTTACTTTCAAATATATATATATATATATTTTTTTAATAGTACAACACTGGCTTAATACACCACCCCGTAATGGCAATATTGAATATTGTGGAGCATTTGTTGTTGCGGTAATAGGATCGTTTATATGTAGTTCGTCATTTTTGAAGAGTATTGGTGATTCACGGATTAAATTGTTTCTATGTTGCACTATTTAAAGTCTTATTAGGCGCTACCATTTTCTGCATTGTAACATATAAATAGGTTATTCGGCGTAAGCTTTCTGCCTTCGACATCAGCTGCAGCAACAATCTTACAAGGAATCCTGTTAGCATTCCGGCTATAGTTTCTTATTTCAGTTTATTTCACTTACCATTTATAATTTCTGTAGATGCCATATATTTTTCCTTATTTAATAATCTTTTTTAATTAATTGTACCAAATCCTGTGCCGTTAATAAAAAATTATTTGCTCAACAGTAGCAAAGTAGCCATAATAATTATTAAAATCAGCAATTTTTACTAAGGGACACTAATTGGCAATTCGGATTCAATTCGTACCACAGATTTAACTGAACGTTTTGTGCTAAGTAAATATGTCACAATTATCAATATTTGCACCGCTGCAGGACTATGTATTGATCCACTTTCATGAACTTTAATATAGCATTAATCAAAACTCTTTCTGTTCGCTATTACTAATTATCTTGCACCAAACATGGATATACATAGTTTATATCCAGCCTAAGTCGTGTTCCAATCGTACTATTTTAAATAGAAGTTGTTTTAATTCTGGTCGCAATCCCACGAATGATCGTAATTGTTACTATTGCGCGTACAAATTTATGCAGATATATTCACCGCAAAAATGCATATAGAATTCAAAAATTATTTTTTCAACGCCCAGGGAAAATTTATCCACATTGTGGTACAATTCAATTCAATGTCGCAAAGTCATCCGCAATAAGGAACGGAAACATATTCAATTTAATTTTTAATGCAATATTTACAGATAAAACTCATACAATTTTGCGAATTCCATAGTATACATGTTTCTTTATTTTCAGAAAATTAAAAATGTCAATGTTATTAAGGCTTTGAAACATTGTTACAAGCCAATTCTTGAAACTAAAGTAGAACCAGTTGCAAATTTCATATTCAAGAAACATTTGTGTACATATGTATACTTACATACATACATTCATACATATGTGTATTTGCAACTGTTTTCAAATAAGCTCATACAGAAAAAATTTGTTTAACTTTCCCGCAATTTGATAAGGGGAGAAGAAAGCATCTGACAGGCCCATTACCGTTACAGATAGCGTCAAAGAACCACCACCCTCTCCTCCTCTGACAGATGCATAATTTGTGGATGTGAAGGTGTTGGGTCTGGAACTCGGCCTCAGCCAACATGGGAATTGAGCAGGGTCACGTATCTTTGGCAATGCCACAACCAAACATCTTTGGTCAACTGCAGTTGGAAGCAACTTCATTTTAGTGTCTGCCCTGTGGAAGCAAGCAGCCGCGTGCTAACGCTCAACATCTTTTCATAGCCACAGACTCGACGCCGCATGCGTCCCAGTTCGGTTTTTTGACCAAGACTACACAATTTCATATCCAATCCATGCCAGGCCTAATGATTCACCTTCCTGTTCAACATATGTATGTACATTTCACGTGTTCTCTCCCGCCAATGTTTATAATGCACACCAAACTACAAAAATAGGCGACTTACTTGAACTTAAAATAGAAATGAACCTTCAAGAAAATAAAAATTTCACATTAACTAGTTCATTTCGTTTTTGACTTCAAATGGACATTTTCTCAACTAAGAAAAGCAAACCAAAGCAAAACAAAGCAAATTTCGCTTATTTATCGAAGGTGTATCGGTATTAAATGGAAAAGAAGAGAAAAAAAAGCAGAAAGAAATCGATAACTGTTATATAATGGCAAGATATCGGCGACGTGTTTTGTTTAGATTTGAATTTGAAATTTATGAATTTTCACGGGTTGTATAAATGTGTATATGAAATTTTGATACGAACTAGATAACACATAAATGGAATTTATATAATATTTAGATATATGTGATACATATATTATATTATATTTATAAAATTTATAGCAATATGCATTTTTTTGATAAATATTTAATCTTTATTTAAGATCAGTCCTAGGATTTATGATAACTTTGAAATTTCAATTATGCTTCGGTCAATGCCTACTCAGAAACAAACTCACACTGTGGGATTCCGTCTAGCTCGTTGACCTATGAATTTTTTTTTTTTATTAGCAGGATGTTTTTATTTAAAACTGTCCATTGTGGACAATCATTAAATTGGCTAATTAAACTTGACAATTTATTCATTTCATTTATGATGAGGTTATAGTATCGGCTAGTCCCAAGGGAGGTCCAGAGGATGGCTCCTGAGCAGCCTCCTGGTCCGTTCGCTGTTGTCCAGTAGGTTGATCGCCAAATTATTGGGGTGGTGTACCGCTTGCTGCTTTTCTTAATTTCGTCCTCCATCCAAGGGAAGCTGAGGATTTGCTGAATAGTGTCGTTGTCGTGCAGAGGGTGACCGCTGGTGGCGGTGCGGCGAGCTTTGTTCTCGAATATCTGTATGATGCGGACTAGTCTTACAGGCGGTGCCCCACAATTGGATGCCATATGTCCAGATTGGCCTGATCATCGCCTTGTATACAAGTAGCTTTAATGACGTTGGCAGCTTCGATGTCCTACCCAACAGCCAGTAGAGTGCTTTAACGCGGTCTTCTGGACTTATGTATGCCAGGTCTCATAGTAATGTGAATGAAACAGAATTAGCTTTTCCTATACAAATTTTTGTTAGTTAATTACTTTATTTATCAGACCTTTTAGAGTAACGTGTTTGCTGTTAAACATAACAAAAACACAGATTGAGTGATTTTAGTGACGAATATGTAAAATGTAAATAAAGTAAATATGTTGCAGATCTATTTAACCAACGAAGATCAGTCTTATAATTTATATCAGCTATCTACAATACAGCGAGCTATTTTCAAGTCCTGATAAGAGTCGATTTCCAAAGCATCTTCCGGCAAAATATCAACAACTGCACACCTAATAAATTAAACGAAATAAATTAAAACTAATATGCATAGTATAGGTATATCTAGGAAAAACACACTCACTTTTCATTTTGCAAAAAGCCACTCATTACTAATTCTCTCCGTGAGAAATAAAACATTCCTGTTTCAATCATATCTCCACTCCAATCTTGTCGTCTAGGTCGGGACTCTATACGAAAATTTGAAGGTATCAAGACATTGTTCTTTAATTCCCAACGTAAGCTGTGCGACCTAATTTCAACGGATAAAATTCAAGAAAACGTAATTATTAAGGACTGAGAAGCCGCAAAGTTGGTTGCAATGATTCAATTTATAATACCTTCTGACTGCAAAAACACACTCGTGGCTTTTATATTTTTCAACAGCCTGTCTTATGTAAGCTTCTTTTAAAAAAACTGATGTGCATTGAAATAATGCGACATTATTAATTGTTTGGTGGGCATTAAGAAATTCTTTCACAGCATCAAGCGAGGATGTATTATCCATTGCGTATTGTGCGGGGCGATTATGGACCAATGCTCCGTCTTCAATTATAAAAACAAATTTATATCTTTTCAAAATTTCACTAACATACCGCTCAAAATTAAATGAATATGTGGAAATACTATAATTACATTTGTCCGCTTCCTTTGCAATATTTTCGTCATCTGTTGAAACCCAAATATTCTCAAAGCAATCAGATGCATTCTTTATTGTCAATATTGAGCGAGCTAAAAGAGAAATTCCGTTAATTTTGACCAAGTTCTTATGTTTTATTCCTTGGCTTCCTCCTCTTGCAAGAATTAAAGCGTGTATATCGTTTTCTGAGCTGAGGAAAATGTAAATGAAGTTGTTAAAATTTTTTAAGAACAGTGTTAGTGTAGGGTACTTACCAAGCTGATCCAAATTCTATTTGAATAATCCATTGAGCTAACAATATATATATTATATTTAAAAAGTTCTTCATAGTTTCCAAAACTTTTACTTTTTTTAGAAAGAGTGAGTGTGCTCAGATTAGATTAGGTAAAACCTACTACTAAGAGACTAATCATCACCAATCTCACGTTATAAGATGATGGTTGCACAGATATTTTAAATATGTGGCTGCATACATAAGTATTATGTATCATAGCAAAAACATATTTAGTCAGCATATATGCCTCCCTAATAAAGTACCGACACCTATTTAGGTAAGATTCTTCATCTTCAATCAAAAATTATTATTTCCCTCAACTTTTCCCTTTTAACAATTCCGGTGTACAGATAGGTGTTAATTGTATACGCAGCTGCAGATACAAAATCTGCTAATACATATACATTGCAGTGAAGATTTAAAATTAGATTATATTCATTAAATCGCTTTTATATGTTGCAGGGAAATCCATTCATTTAGTCTTTTTTATTTTACTCCAATATAAACACTAATTAAAGGTATAGAACGAAATTTGAAATTTAAACTAAATTTGTGTGTCCTCTATACACAAAAACATTAAAAGCTTTTATGTATGGTAGAACAAATATGAAGATCCTTAAAGATATTTCAAAGAAGATTTTGCTCAGAAACCATCATGACCATCGGGTCATGAAATCCCCATTAAGTTTTTTAATACTTTGAAAACTTTACTTTACCCTCGATATAATCGATTGAATCAAACTCCTATTGCATAACAGTTTTGCTTTTTATTTGTGTAACTAGAAATATGGCAGACGAAGAAGATCCTTGGGGGTTTGATGACGGCGGAGATGCTGAGCAATCTTCTAGTCAAGCAGCTGCTTCTGTTGAAGCTGTGCCTTCGACCCCAAAGAGTATAGTTTCTGAACATAAATCCGAAACCGCTGAGGCAGGAGGAGAGCAAGCAGCTGAAGAACAACCTATCGCTGAGGCTGAGGAAGCAAAAGCACCACCACCTCCTCCAGAAGATGACGGATACAGGAAACCAGTTCAATTATACCGGCATTGGGTGAGGTATGGTCTACAAAATTTGGGTATTTCATAACGTTTTCAATAATTCAAAGATTTTTTTTTTTGAATCCTAATTATAACCTCAAGAAAATAGATTACATAAATTCATTTTTTGTAGGCCTAAATTCCTTCAGTACAAATACATGTACAACTACAGAACCAACTATTATGATGATGTAATTGATTATCTTGACAAAAAACAAGTTGGTGTAGCACGGGACATACCAAGACCTCAAACATGGGCAGAGCGTGTGCTCCGGACACGAGATATAAGGTAGGCAACAAAATAAAAAAGTTCCAGAAAATCCTTCGAACGTTTTCTTCATCTATATATATATACCCGTACCCTTCACTCAAAAAACTATAGGCTTACATGGTCGTGAGGAGTGCACTATATACCCTACTGTATCTATAATTTCTCAGTTTTTTTTAAGAAAGCACCTTTTACCAATCTTCTCGACCTCACGTTTTGATTTTAGTCCGTTATAATAATCATATAAGTACTCACTCTTTTAAGTGAAGGGTAAAAAATTGGCAAAGAATAAAATATAAATAGCGTATTTCAAAGACGTGTAATTTCCTTGTGAATTGTACAAATATGATTTATGATTTCATTTTCTGTTTTTAGCGGAAGTGGACTTGATTCCTTTGCGCCGTCTACCAAAAGGGACAAGCAATTAATTCAAACGTTGGCTGCGTCGATTAGAACATATAACTACCATACCAAAGCATACATTAACCAAAAATATGCTAGTGTTCTTTAATTCTAAATCATGCCTTACAAGGTTTTCGATGAAAATATAGAATAATCTTAGGGGATGTGTATATATAGTTACTAAGCGATTGTATATATTAATTTGAGTTGTACATTGGCCCAGAATGAATAATGATACTGTTTACTGCCAACTGTATAAATTAATATTATTATATGAGGGCTGCCAAATGTGCATATAATATATTTGTTTTTACAGAGCAAAATGCATGTACATACTTAAATAAATATTTTTATGAAAAACGTTAAGTTAGAGCAATATAAAACACTGTGCAATAAATAAATAAAAGTATACAAAAGTCGACTAATGCCTAATTTATTTATATGTATAATTGTGAAGTAGGTTTTTTAAAGAATACAATTTTGTCTACTATCGTATCAGTACAATACTCAAGGTACAGCTGATGTGTACTTATACAAAAAAATAATAATAATTTTAAATTTTATTTGCGATTTTAATTTCAAATTGGCAAATATATGTAAAAGGACGACAGACGGACAGAAATTGGGTCTGTCCTTCTGTATAAAAAAATAAACAAAACAAAGTTTATGTTTTTTCACATCCTCCCCTGTTAATAAAATTGCATATAAAGTTTCAAAAATAGTAAGTAAAAGAGCAAAATGTAATTCGAATTATTAACAAAGTAGATTACTGAAGAAAAAAGTGAAAGAGAAAATATCTGATTCTGTTGGGGACAAATTGTATTTGCCAATTCAACACGTTAGGACCAGAGATGGTTATAGAGGACAGTTTTTATACAGTAGAGGGAGAAAGGAAGAATTTTGTTGAGAGTAAGTTGTTGGTCTACAAAGAAATTTAATAATCATTTTGTGAAGAAAAAATATACCAAGAACAGGCCTACGTATTGATGAAGATTTAAGTGCAAAAGTCTGCCAGAATACGATGTCAGCCAAAACTTGGGATCCCTCCTAAGGTATTTGTACTGATCATTAAATTCTTGGACCAACGTTTAATAAATCTAAGTATACTCTTAGTCTTATGTTGTTATGTTAACTTTTAAAATTCTTTAAATTTCTTTTTTAAATTAAACATTTAATTTTTTAAAGAGCTTAGCTACAGCTAAGCTTAATACTTGTATAAGAACTGTGAACGTATTTATAGCTGGAAGTGTACTCTTTACGCATGCTCTTCAAAAATGTATTATTATTATTTCTGTTCTGATTGAAGTGGCTATTGAAATGTAGTTCCCAAGCACATTTAGGGATATAACTGCACTCTTATTTATAATAAATTTTAACAACTTGTAATTACAATGAAAAAAATTTAAATGTTAAACTTAAAAAGTTTTTCTACGCTGAGTACTACTTTATCATCATTATAAATATAGGAATTTATTACATTGATGGACAGGAACAGGAAAGGGTTTTTACATATAGATAATATATATTGACTACATATATAAGTTTTAAAAATTTTCCTTGTGTTAACAACAATTATTATGTGCTCCACATAAGAGATTTAAATCAACTCTATCTTTTTGGCGCAGATCCATAATAATTCCTTATTTTAAATTGATAAATCGAAATGAACTCTGAAAGGCCACCAATGAGTATTTGTTCACTTATGGTAAATTGCCACTTTATGCTGAGAATTAAGACCGCTCAGCTGCGCTAAGTTTAGAAAAAAACGAATAAGTAAATAAATACTTGCACAATAACAACCCCCTTGAAGAATCGGCAAAATGAGGCACTTCTTTTTAAAAACATTGCCCAAAGCCCACAAATATGTAAAATCTCAGCAAAGTGGAGTCCGTAAGTAAAATTACAAATTACATAACCATTGTTAAGAAGGACATAAATATGTATATGTTATACTTCAGTTGAAAACAATTGGGCAAAGGCATACTCTACCAGCTCTGAGCCGAAAGAGCCCATAGTTAGGACGAAAACCATCCCTGGTCCAAAATCGATTGAGCTTAAAAACCAACTGGAAGCAGTTCAGGTATGTACATTCATAAATCTGTCTTCTAGAGACAGAGACCCAAAATCTATTGTGAGTGTCCCCCTTCTGGCAAACAAATCAGTTATAATTAATAACTGTTATTTAAATAGTGGCAATGATAAAGCGATTAGATAAGTGCTGTTTGCTGGTGAGTGACAAAACCTAATCAATGTTTATTTTTAGAGCACGGGCACGGTACAGTTTTTTGCCGATTATGAAAAGTCGACAGGAAACTATATATGCGATGTGGACGGTAATATTTTACTTGATGTTTACACACAAATTTCTTCCGTTCCATTGGGCTACAACCATCCCAGACTCGTTAACGTTTTCAAGGATGAGCGCAACCTAAAATGTAATTTAAAAAAAAAACAATTTTCCAGCTCACATTTAAGATTGTCCTTAAACTATGGTGTTTTTTTTTTAGCTTTAATTAACAGACCCGCTCTTGGAGTATTTCCTGGAAAAGAATGGCCAGAGAAATTGAATTCGGTTTTAAAGAACGTTGCGCCCAAAGGATTGAACAAAATCACTACCATGATGTGTGGATCTTGCTCGAACGAAAATGCATTTAAAAGCATTTTTATCTGGTAATAGTGAGATTTCTTTATAGTCAATTACCCAAATTGTACATTCTCGCCACTTTCAGGTACCAAAATAAAATTCGCGGCCAGAATGTGAGCTTTACTGAGCAAGAAATCAATTCCTGTATGATCAATTTGCCCCCGGGTGCTCCCAAATTAAGCATTCTTTCATTTAAAGGAGCTTTCCATGGTCGCACACTAGGAGCTCTATCAACAACACATTCCAAATACATTCATAAAATAGACGTACCATCCTTTGACTGGCCTATAGCTACATTTCCGCAATATAAGTACCCCCTAGAAGAGAACGTAGCTGAAAACAAAAAAGAGGATGCAAAATGCCTAGCTGAAGTACAAGAACTTATTGAGCAATACTCCAAGAAAAACATTCCTGTTGCTGGCGTTATCGTAGAACCGATACAGAGTGAGGGAGGTGATAACGAAGCTTCGCCAGAATTTTTCCAAGGCTTACAAAAAATTTGTAAGAAAAACGGTGCTGCTCTCCTTATAGATGAAGTACAGACCGGCGGAGGAGGTACTGGAAAAATGTGGTGCCATGAGCATTTTAATTTGGAGTCGCCCCCTGATGTAGTTACCTTTAGCAAAAAGATGCAACTAGGTGGCTATTTCCATAACGAAGATTTCATTCCAAATCAATCATATAGGATTTTTAACACTTGGATGGGTGATCCAGGCAAAGTCATTCTATTAGAAGAAATTATCAAAGTAATCCAAGAGGAAAAATTGTTAGAAAATGTACAAACTGCTGGCGCAGTCCTAAAAAATGGCTTATTAAGCTTGGAAAAGGAATTTCCCATAGTGAGCGCTACTCGAGGACGCGGCACTTTCCTAGCTTTAAATTGCACAAATACAAAAGTTAGAGATTCAATTGTGGCTCAACTAAAACAGAACGGTGTGCAGACAGGTGGGTGCGGAGATATTTCTATTCGTTTCCGCCCAGCTCTAATTTTTAAGGAATATCATGCCAACATTGTTTTGGATCGATTCAGAAAGGTATTGAAGTCTTTGTAAGCTTTGAAAGCTAAAGCGAATGTGCTCTGAATAATTGAAATAAATAAAATTTATCTTCCATTAACTAGTTTGAATATAAATACTTCTGTCATTGGTTTGATTTAAGAAACGTTAGATCTTTGCTTTTTTGCAGTCACCAGCGATGGTTCGTTAAAAAACAGCGGCCAATTCGTTAATTATCAGTAAATAAAACTAAAATCGGTGAACTCTTAAACTGATTCTTTTTGACATTAATTGTCTAAATTTTAAGCATATCATATAATTATATCATCATATAATGAGGAACTTTAGAAATCTTTAGTGTTGGTATTTATTACTAATTTACAAATAGTACATATATCATAACAAAAAGAGTTCATAAACTATGAATTCGTTTCCGATTAATTCCAAATATTAGACTTTGTGTATGCAAAGCTAAAACTTCTTTCCTGAGAATATGAAGATTCACCTCGATATAATGAAGTATATTTCTGGGCTTAGTTAATTCAATATTATTATTGGTAGGCGCACGGGTAGCTGGATCTGCACGCAGATTTATTAAACTTCTTTTTTGTTTATAAAAATACATATATTAAGGTTTCTTCAACTGTTAACCCAACTGATTAGTTGTAGTTCGACTATCCGTGACAACGGTATCGTTTTGTAAAGAACGCTTTTGCTCTTGACCGCGATTGGCATCCAAAATATAAAATAAAATTAATTATATTACTATAGTTTTTTGTAGCTTTTAGTAATAAAATTTGATGTTATATTTAGCGTCGACCTGATGCCCCTCTGCCCCTTCCACGCCCCCTAGGGCCTCCACGACCACGGGCTCCACGTCCTCTGCCACGACTACCAACACGACCGCTGTCCTTCTTTTTGGTTTTTGATTTTGGAGTGTCGTCTATAAGCAAAGTCTCCAGCGGCAAGCTATCCGGCAAAATGAAATATCGGATGTTGTTACCACGAATGCTTAGTGACTCCAAGTGCACGGGATCTCTGTTCTTTATGGTCATCTTAACACTTTTCAGATGCGTGTTCATAGCCACATCCACTCCAGTAATTGTTCCATGAATTTGGGTGCCATTTTTTAATTCAATAGTTACAGTCTCATGACTGAGTTTCATCAAAAATCTGAAAAGAAATATTTAACATAAGACATTTTCTGTATTTACGTGCATGTGTATGTGCACATAATGTGCCGCACGCAGCTACAACCACTCTCTGCAGTTGTACTTAAAAACTCAAATGCACAGATAAATACCAGAGCTATTAGTAATGCTTTCGCTTAAGCAGACATATCATTAATTGTGACATACCTTACTAGCTTCATTTCTTGGATATTCAATTAAAATTAGAGTATTTTATGCCGGCAAATTTTGTTGTATGCAAAACGTTTGCGGTACAGGGTTGGTTTGAACCGATTAATCGAAAATGAAACGAGCTGCAATGTTTCCACTACAAGCCTGATATTTCTGATAATCCCTATTAAATTAAATATGCAGACTTGCTTTTTATTTATCTTCTTCAAGCACAAATAATAAAAAAAACATTCCTTTAATTAATTATTTAACACAAAATTAGCTATCCAGAAAGTTCTAATTTTATCTTATGAAATTCAATTTTTTCAAATTCACGTTTTGTTGTACATTTTATATTAATGTCAATTTATATGTAAATTGATCATAATATGTACATACATTATGTCAAGCAGTATATATATATATATATATATATATATATATATATATATAATAATAATAATACTTTCAAAATAAATACTGGTTTAAGACTAATGGCGTCTCAGTGCTCAAAAACTATGTACCCCCGACGATACCTTGATTCAGACCCCTTACAACACTATCACAAATTTGCCTGTGTTAAGGCTCGTTTGTTAGTCCGGCTTTATAATTGTTGTAGTATACAATTACAATTGTTTATAAGCTATTTTTTTTTATTAAGGAAAAAGTACTAATCAGTGGATTTGCAGTGCAAAATCTTAAAAAACAATGGAGTTTAAAAACTCCCTAACATTGACAGCCCAAGTTTTTCTTCTAATTTTTTTGTCAAGCAGTAAATGGGCGCTGGGACACATTCGACGAGAAGGTATAGACAGAATGCAAAAACGCTTTGAGCGTTAAATAAATGCTTTTATTGATGCTGTAATACTAATTAACTTTTAACATATTTGCATTAATATATAATTACACGTGTACATACATGCTCAAATATGTATGTATTGCCATGCAAAGTATGTACTTATGTATGTACATACATAAAAAGGTGTGAAAATCGGCGACATTCTCATTTACCATAGCATTTTCCCAAATGCCTAATTTCCAGCAACATTTAATGAGTTGGGTTAAGCCTCTGTTCGACTTTAGCTTAATGATATGCTCTACAAGTTTTCTATAGATAAATTTAGATTAGTGAACAAACTACGACTACGCCCAACTCGCGCTCCTGCCATGGGGGTGGAATTTTATTAAAGGGCGCCTGCATGTTTAAAGGTTTAAAGATTGAGCGATTCTGAACGCAAATATGTATTTTAAATGACTAATATTTAAATACTATTATGACTATTGTTATTACATATGTAGCTCAAAAAATCTATTGTATGTTTTCAGAATGGGCAGAAATCGGAAAAAACTGGTCGTTACTATGTAGATCTGAAAATGAGGCTGCATCATGGATATTTAACAACAACACAATTGAGAAAGCAAATAGAAGGTATGTTTTATGATCTCATAAAAATACATTTTTGATAATTCAAAGCGAATAATCAAAACACACATGCTCAACTTCAAGCCATAATATTTTCCAATTATTAGGGAAATGACTTCGACTTAAAAAGAATTCTTTAGTAAAAAAGCAGTAAAAAACTCATTTAATACATTTATATTTAACCTTTAAAAATTATTTAAAAGCCTAAATTTGTTTTGTGAAGAGTTGGGATTTTGTCATGTCAACAAAGCAATTCAAAAGCCTTTACTCGAACTTGATTAAAACAGAACATAATTAAAATATTTATTAATATTTCTAAAATTTAAATTCAGCTTTCATTTAGATTTAATATTGATGTGTATCGCGTGTTTCCTACTCTATTTAAATAAAAAAAAACAATAACTTTTTTTAAATTACAGATACAGCATTAAAGCAGAAATGATTAAAACCGATGAAAACCTCACCAATAAGTTTAGCAACAAGCTAACGATACACAATTTAACTGAATCAGATACCGGAAGCTATTTCTGTGACACTGCGTGGAACAATCACTCGATTGAATTTAAATTACAAACATTCCTCCACCCAACAATTGTTGAAAGTACTCCAGAAAAAATTAAATGTCTGATTGAGGAAGCTGTTGAGTTATATTGCTTGATACGCATTTACCCACAAAATACCTCAATACACGAACAATTGAAATGGCTTAAGGATGGTAGCTCTTTTGCCTCTCCCGATAATACGTCCGCCATTTCATCAGTCAATGTTACTCATCTAAACTTTACACAATCATTTGTAGGAGTAAATAAAAAGGATAATGGCACATATAAATGTGTCCTGTATAACGAGGCTGACGTTGAGATTACTTCAAAGGAAATAACACTTCTTATATTGGATGTTCCTCAAGTCAGTATTGATTACGCAAAAGCAGTTGGAGCTAATCGAATATATCTGAACTGGACCGTAAACAATGGAAACGATCCTATTCAGAATTATTTTGTGCAGTATTCACAAGAAGGTTCGCCATCATTTATATATCACCCAGATTTCATAAGTGGCAACAATACATCATACGTGCTTGGTAGTTTTCAACCGAATACTACATATATTTTACGTATTTCGGCAAAAAATTCCCGTGGACGCGGGACACACCATACACACCCCAATGGGATAACCACCCTAACGGCAGATCCAGTGTTTATACCAAAGGTTGAGACAACAGGGAGTACGGCATCAACTATAACAATTGGTTGGAGCCCTCCACCCCAAGAGTTGCTCGAATATATACAGTATTATGAGTTAATGGTTTCTGAGTCTGGGGAGGTTCCAAAACTAATTGAAGAAACTGTCTACCAACAAAACTCAAGAAACTTACCATATATGTTTGATAACCTAAAAACTGCAACCGACTACGAGTTTAAAGTGCGTGCCTGTAGCGATCTAACAAAAATTTGTGGACCATGGTCTGAAGTTGTGAATGGTACAACAATGGACGGTGCTGCCTCAAAGCCTACTGATTTAACTGTGCATTGCCATCGTCAAAATATTTCCAGACTTAACTCTATTTCGATTAGCTGGAACGTGCCGAACAAGCCGAACGGCAAGATAGTTTCATACCTTATTACTATAGAAGGAAGCTACCAATACAGCCTCCCCAGTGGTGTTCATACGGAAAAATTGCCACCAAAAATCCGAAGAATCGATGAGCCAAACCATAAGACAGTCTACGATGGAGCGGATCCTAATACAAACTATACCGTGGCAGTATCGGCCATTACGCGTCATAAGAAAACTGGCGAATTAGCGCATGGCAATTGCTCCATGCCTGTGTCTGTTCCAACTGTCGACAGAACAATGTGGACCAAAGTTAAGCTTAACCAGAATGAATATGTTATCAAGCTGTATTTGCCCAAAATTAGTGAAAGAAATGGTCCCATCTGTTGCTATCGAATTTATCTAATTAAATTAAAAAATGGAAACAAAGAACTTCCCACTCCCGACAAATTGGACATTGCTACTTATCACCAAGTTCACAACGACACCAAAATGCTAGGCGATACATATATAGCAGAAATGATCAGCAAAAAATACTTCAAATCAGAAATATTTTTAGGCGATGGAGTACGCTTTATTGAGAACTCTGAAACTTTAATGGATAATGACAACATATGCCGCCGTTGCCTGGAGGGTACTCCGTTTCTACGAAAGCAGGAAAAAGTCCATAAGTCTGCAAACGATATCAATCCAAGTAAAGTATTATTTCATTACAAATTTATATTATACGAAGTGTACGGTTTGTAAGCCATTACATATGACATGACGAGACTATATAAATCCGACTGTGCGTCTGTCTTTTTTAACCACTACTCTTAAAGCTCGCAATAAAGCATATTACCATTTTATATATCATTTTAAAAAAATATGTTATATAAAATGAAGATTTTTTTTATTAATATCTTTTTTGTTGTTAATAAAGACTTTTGGATCCAAATTCCATTTTAACAATAATGATGACATATCTGATTGTATCACTTCTGTGTCGCGAATGGTGACCCATTCTTCCTAATTAAACATTAGATAGACCGACATAGTAGGGTATTTAGTTTGCGGACCTTGATCATAGAGGGAAAATCATAGAGGGTATATGTAGCTTCGTCGAAAATGATGAAACCTTCTTTGAGCGTTTCACAGAGTTATATAGTAAAATATATTAATAAATTCCATTCTTTTAGTATTATCCCAAAAGGAACAATTAACTAAAGCTGGCAACTTAACGGAACACGCCTTCAAAATACTAGAAAATAAGAAACGGAAGCGAAGAAATCCAAAAGCTGCAATTAGTAAAGAGGGCGATACAAATTTAAATTTGTACAATCAATCTTTTGCACAGGAGTCCGCGTTTCTTCCAGATATATGGGATGGCAAATTAGATATTAATTCAAATTATACAGGCTTTTTGGAAGTAATTGGTAAGTGGCACATAGATGACGCAAGTCTCCAGCTAATTATTTTTTAAACAGTTCCGGACGGAAATTCTGTGCTAATGGCCTACAGCGACTATTTCGCCATAATTACTCCGGCAACTGAAGCTGAACAGCTTCAAAACTTGGACGACTCGGACTTCTACTATATGGGCGTGAAGGCCCTAGCGGTTGTAATTGCAGTAACCATCATGTTTATTATAATATGGTTTCTCTATGACCATAAAAAGAGCAAAAATGCAATTCGTGGGGAAGACGCAATTACACTGAGAGATTCACTCAGGTAAATACTATTTCTTTACTCTATTTGGTATATTATATATTGCTTGAGTTTCTCAAATTCGTCCTGCAAAAACTTCTAGGGCTTGGAATGATTTAAATTTTCGGACATTTAGTCTAGTCGTTAGCGAGTTTAATTTTGCTTTTACCTTTATTTCAAACGAAAACTTGTTTCAAAATGAATTCAGCTGAAAACCAGCTATGTGTAGTTACCATTACTACAGAATAATTACTTACTAATTATAATGAAAATTGAATTTGATTGAAAATGAATTGTTCCTTGTTAGGTGCAAATACAATTATAATACTTTTTTATACTTATAGAGCTCTATTCGGAGGTCGTAGCAATAATCATAGCCACTTTATAAGCTCTGGAAACAACAAAGGTTTTGAATCGGGTCCGATTCACAAATCCGACTTAATAAATGCGTATAAAAGCCGGCATAAAGATACAGACTATGGATTTCTTCGAGAATACGAAATGTTACCTAATCGCTTTAGTGACCGAACAACAAAAAATACAGATTTGAAAGAAAATGCTCCCAAAAATAGGTATCCCGATATAAAAGCCTACGATCAAACGAGAGTGAAGCTGTCACCTATCAATGGTCTTCCGTGCTCAGATTATATTAATGCAAACTTTGTCATTGGATATAAGGAAAGAAAGAAATTTATTTGTGCACAAGGTCCAATGGAAGGTACAATTGACGACTTCTGGAGAATGATATGGGAGCAGCATTTGGAGATAATTGTGATGCTGACAAATTTGGAAGAGTACAACAAAGCAAAATGTGCGAAATATTGGCCAGAAAAGGTACAAGATACTAAAAAGTTCGGAGATATATCTGTGAAATTTACACAAGAGCGAAAGACTGGTGACTACTTAATCAGATCTCTAGATGTATCCAAAACTAATTTAATTGGCGAAGAAGAAGATCATAGAGAGATAACACAATATCACTATTTGACATGGAAAGATTTTATGGCTCCGGAGCATCCACATGGGATTATCAAGTTTATTCGGCAAATAAATTCAGTATATTCAGTTCAAAGAGGGCCTATATTAGTGCATTGTAGTGCCGGAGTTGGTCGAACAGGTACACTAGTTGCATTGGACTCTCTTACCCAACAGCTAGAAGAAGAGGACACAGTATCAATTTTTAATACTGTTTGTGATCTACGTCATCAGCGCAACTTTCTGGTGCAGTCGTTGGTAAGTGTTGTACTTACCTTATCTAATAATATAATATTTAACTGTTCTGGTTGTAATTTTGTTTTTCGTTATAGAAACAATACATTTTTCTCTACCGGGCACTACTGGATACTGCCACATACGGAAATACTGAGATAGCTATCAACTCTATGCCGCAAACAATTGAATCTTTAAAAACAAAACCTGCGGATGGAAGCAAATGCAAGTTAGAGATTGAATTCGAGGTAAGTAATTGTTTGTGTATACATATGTTTGTGATTAACTTTTATCATAATTATAACATAGAAGTTACTATCTACAACGGAGGAGGTCAGTAAGTCATGCTGTATTGGCGAAAGTGAAGAAAATATGTCAAAAAATAGAAGCCAAGAGATTATTCCTTATGACCGTAATAGAGTAAGTATTTTTATTGATTTAATATATATTTTATACATTGAATGTTTTCGTTTAGGTTATTTTAAGCCCAGCACCCATGAAAGAAAATTCCACGTACATTAACGCTTCATTCATCGAAGGATACGATAATACTGAAACATTTATAATTACACAAGATCCTCTTGAAAATACCATTGTAGACTTTTGGAGAATGATTTCAGAACAAAGTGTCTCTACACTTATTATGATATCTGAAGTAAGTACTGTGACCTTATTATTATAATACATATTATAAAATGTCAAGAACATCATTGGGGAAAGCTTCAACTGGTCTTTTAAAAGAATTAAGAATTATGATTTTTAAGATCCTGGTCTTAATGCAGATAAATGATCATGTTTAGTAAACGATTTCATTTCCATTTAGCCATCTCATACAAGGTAGAACATCTCTGCATTCTTTCATTCTTTATAGTAAGTAGAAAGACACCCATACCCCACAAACTACTTATGAACTCAAAATATCTATCTAATTTTTTTAAAATTAAAAATGTACTTGTTCAACATGAAACTTTTTCCAATCGGATTGTGAAATTCTTATCTAAAGATTAAGGGAGCTGCGTACACTCATGCATGCGGAATATTTTCATAGATATAGAGCATTTATTTATTGGTTTTTATGATCCCTTCAACGGGTTTTATATTTGTATTTGGTTTTATATTTGTAACGCACAGAAGGCGATGGGAAAGTTCTTAAACAATCAGCCGGAATAATTAATCAGTGACAGAATAATTAGTTATAACCATATCCGCCGTCGGATCCTATGAAAACTTGACTGTCAGATTAGCAGCTTCCGAGCTATCGGACTATTCAAGAGTCATAGTATATATATAAAAGTAAAATTGTATTTTTATTATTCCAGATTGGGGATGGTCCACGAAAGTGTCCTCGTTATTGGGCGGATGACGAAATTCAATATGATCATATACTTGTAAAATATGTACACAGTGAAAGTTGTCCTTATTACACAAGACGAGAATTTCACGTTACTAACTGTAAGATAGACGATACACTGAAAGTTACACAATTCCAGTATAATGGTTGGCCAACCGTGGATGGGGAAGTTCCTGAAGTGTGTCGAGGGATAATAGAACTTGTGGACCAGGCTTACAACCACTACAATAGTCGAAAAAACAGTGGTTGTCGATCACCTTTGACTGTTCATTGCAGGTAAGTGATAATATTGAAATCCAAAAAATTGCATTCAAAACTTTTATTTATTTGTTGCGCAATACAGCTTGGGAACTGACCGAAGCTCAATTTTCGTTGCCATGTGTATTTTGGTCCAGCATCTTAGATTAGAAAAAAATATAGATATATGCTCGACAACAAGAAAGATACGATCTCAGCGACCGGGACTTATTAATTCATACGTAAGTATAAACAATATTCCAGTTTATTTCAAATACGTGTCATCACTTCTTTTTTAGGCACAATACGAGTTCCTACATCGCGCAATAATAAATTACTCAGATCTACACAATTTGTCGGAAAACTCATCAGATTAAGTAAATTATGTAGATTTAAAAATATTAAATAATTTAATACTTTTGTATATATATCAGAATCTCTTAGTTTAATGCATCTGCGCCGATAATTTGTATAAATTTTGATAAATAATTTACGTTTGCCATTATTATAAAATACAATTTAGTAAGGCTACCAAAGGAAGAATATTAATATATTTTATAAGATTCTGTGTACTAATAAATAACAACTGTAACTTTTACACTGAAGCATATATTTTGTGTTTTTTCCCTTATCCCGTTAGTATCCATGTACTTGTATTATTAATAATTCTTATTTAAGAATTCGAAAATTTTGCGTCACAAAAGTCAATTCCATGTTCTCTTGTCTCAAGAAATACTCTGAAATATTAAGTTTTACACGGTTCTTTTCTATAATTTCGAACGCTTTGGCAAGTGGAATTGAGGTACTGTAAATATAATAGATGACATCACGTTGATTTTTTTCTCTAAGCAGAAAAAGGAAAATAATCACGTTAGAATATGCAGAATTATGGACGACAAAAGTTGCTCTTACAATAAGTACACCCTTTCAAAATAGGTCAATAAAAACCACGTAATATTCTGTACACTCTGATCTTCATTGCTTGGACTCCGTTGAAGCCTAGAAATAGAAAATCAATGGATCACCAATAATACTGGAAATGTAACCTCATTCTCATTTACTTTCAACAACTCAAAATTGTTTAATAACTATTTTCTCTTCGACATTTGTTGATATCAATAAACCAAAAATATGCAAATATCGAAAGGAAAATGTAATAACAAATATTTACCGTGTTCTTTGAAGTGTATATGGCCTTATTTTAATCAACAACACTAAGCCGCGAGTAGCATTTCCTTTAAAACTTTCAACTGGTCCGATTCGAACTAGTTTTCCACGCTTCAGTAGAACTAATCGTGTGCACAAGGATTGAAAGTCCTCCATGTTGTTTGAGGACAGCAAAATAGAACTCCCACATTCATTAACGCCCTTAAGAATGTCTAAGACATCTGATCGGTGAGCCATTTCTACTCCAGCTGTCGGCTCATCCAACAAAATGAGAGGTGGTGTACCAATTACGGCTATCGCAATACTGAGTTTCCGTTTATCACTAACTGTGTAGTTTTTCGATCGCTTATTCAAATGTTCCTTAAAATTTAAATTTTCTGCTAGCTCTTCACTGATTTCTCGTACTTGTAAAGGCCTTATGCCCCTTATTAAGCAAAATATTTTTAGGTTTTCCCGTCCTGTGAACTGAGGCTCAAAATAGTTCAATTGTGGACAATAGCCCATATATTTGTAAGCCTTAAATTTGTTGCGTTTATGGGAATGAACGTTAATTCCTTTTACATACACGACGCCTCCAGATACTTTCATTTCAGATACAATCACTTTGTGAATTGTTGTTTTACCAGATCTTTCACCAACTAGTCCAACGACATCCATTCTGGTGGAAAAAGTGCATAACGAAATAAAATTTTAAATGGGTTAATTTTAAAATTGCCGTCTTTGGCGCACTGGTTTCGGCTTAGGATAAAAATGTCGTAGCTCTGTCTAGATTATGCAAATGAAATTATCTGTTGGATAGCTTAACTTATAATATGCTACTACATTTCAAGATACATTTTTGCTCTTACGGCTTCATTCCAAAGGATACACCCTTAATTGGATGGTGCGCCTTTACATAATCAGTTTTCACATTTTTTAAGACAAGTGGGTGATTTCTCAACTCATTGCGAGTCATATTTCTGATGTTGCAATGATCATCAATTATCATTCCACCTCTAAACCTGAAAATAAAGTAATACAAATTGTGTTCCGTGTTCTACATAGAATAGAAATTCATCAAATGTAAAGACTTATCAAAATTCTGTCCATATTTTGTAAATAATAAAAAAATAATAATAAATAAATAAATGATATTTAGAATATTTTTACCGGGAGTCAGATACGCAGTTTGATCCACGTTCACATAATAAAATCACGGAAAAGAATAAAACTGTTGAAAACAGAAGTACCAAGAGGTATGGCAGGGCAGGCCATATACAGGGAACATGTGGATGTAAGCCTGTAAAAAGGAATACAATTTAATAATGTAGTGAGAAGGGGGTCAAGTTAATTAATAATATGTGTTCATTTAGTACAGCTTACTACAATCCGCGTATTTCTTTGAATTCTCTTCTGTGCAAAATCTGTATGACGATGCATGAATGCAGACTGAATGCAAAGCTGCGATGGCCGAATAGGTAGGAATCAAGTATAAAATACCGAATGGAATATCCGGTGCCACCAACACAAATGCTATTGCTAAAATACATTTTAATTAAGATATAAGTTAAGTATTGAGAAAGATATATATATACTTGTAGTCATGTTGTTGTAACCCAATATTGTTTCTGAATGGAACATATAATGCCAAAATCTTTTTCACACGCAACTTTAGATGCCGACCTGTGACTTAGATGAACTTTGGAAAAGATATCGCCTTATAAATACGTATCAAAATTATACGTCCCACGATAAAAAAAAAAACGAATATAACCTTTTACCCTTTGGGTACAGGCTATAAATAATATAGGTATGCATAATCACTTTTAAACTATTTTTTTCATTGTCTACAAAAATAGGATTTGTAAATATTTCCATACAATTATGCAGTCCTGAAAGGGGAAAAGTACATAAGTCTGAATAAATTAGTTTTTCTTTATGAAAATATTGAACTGAAACTGAATTTATAATAAAAAACACTGGTTAAATGCATATCTCCAATTCAGAAATAATATGACTTTCAACTAATATTACTTACCCAAGAGAGAGAGCATGGCAGTCGGTAAAAGCCATGCGAATATTGCACGATTAAAAAAATACGTTATGATATATAGAAACGTCAATAGCGCTAAATTGAACAGAGTTAACGCAATCACATATCCCACTTCAAATAAAGTTGAAAACAAAAGGAAATTAGATTTGGATTTTTTATGTGCTTACGATCATTTCGACCACAATACAGAGGGCATTTTTTTATCTTAAAAAAGGATTAGCGATATTATGACATTCTCAAAACAAATGGAAATACCGCTATAAGAAATGCTTTCTTCTTGGCATGTTGTGAAGTGATACGATCGATTCTATGAAAATTTAGGGAAATTTACCTAATTCGTCGTCAAATTGTTTTCCAAGACTTAGAAACATGATGAGCAACAAAGCCATTGATAATAGTTCGAGCCAAAACCAATCCCATAATAAATGGGCCAACCAGAACGTGGCCATATTTATACCTTCGACTTGCTGAAGAAGCTTGAAGCCAATAACTCGTTCCCTAATAATAAAAGCGGCAAAGAAGCCACTCAATATGCTTATACAGAGAAGTATAAGGTATAGGTATCCACTTTCAAAACAACTTATTTCTTGATGTGCCGCGTATTGCGAATATTGAACAGCCTCATATGGGTGGTGGATGAAGCGCAAATTGATCGAAGGGTTTTCCATATTTTTGCTATATCCGGAACAACTCAAATCGCTTCAAAATATGCCGTAACGATTAATTAGTTAAGTAGTTTAAGATTTTAAAAAATTGAAGAGCTCACCTGTTGGCTAAATATTTAATCATAGCTGCAGCAACGGCTTCAGAATGCAGCCATTTGGGATTATAATATAACTGACTAGTACAGTTCTTTACCTGCAGAGCGAAAATGTATTTTTCCTGAAACAGCTTCTGTTTCGTCTCAAAGTCATCCTTTTTTATTTTCTCTACAGTACACCCAATTTCTTTTAAAGATTTGTACTTTTCTTCATAGATCGAGGCTTTTGTGCTTTTTTGTTCTTCATCCTTTACCAGTGCAATTTTGCACATAGATTTATAGGGATTTTCATTGAGTTTCAAGGGCTTCTGAGATATAAGTCTGCCTTGTTTGTTATCTTTATAATAAGATAGTGGCACTGGTTTTGGAAAAAAATATTTGTGCGCAGCGGCAAATGAGAACAGCAATAAGAAGAACAGAGGAAAAAATAGAAACCAATTGTACTTCATGTGGTACGCCTTCTTAGATAGCATTGCCTTCCATTGGTTCATTAGTAACCGTCCTCCCCGAAGTAAGCATTCATCTGGCTTTGGCAAATTACATGAATAGTCGCACTTCACTGTGCAGTTGTTGTATTGGGGCAGTGTGGCATTTACAAATTTTTCTAATGTAGGTGTAGTTCCAATACCAATGGCTCCCATGTTAAGATAATTTGATGTTGATTCCAGCTCTTTCAACAATGGAACTATAGCTAAGTTGTTTTCCTGGGGTATGTTGTAGGACACTTCATAAATTTTTTCAGGAGATAATCTCGTCTCAGGAATATATTTCATAACTAGTAATGTTATTTGAGGCTCCTGACATATTTCACCTTGGGGACATACCTGCAATATAGGAAAAAGTACAGTGTATAGCCGGAAAACAATTATTAGATGATATACCAGCTGATATCCAGATCCATAAACATTCTTTAGAAATGTAGATGTTCCATTAAAAATCAATTGTCCGTCACAAAGAATCGATATTCGATCTCCTAAGAAATCGGCTTCTTCTATTTGATATGTTGTAACTATTATAGTTCGACATTGTTTTTCCATTTGCAATAAATTCCAAAGTAGTCGTCGCTCACACGGCTCCATTCTCTCACTTGGCTCATCTAACAATATAATCCGTGGATTCCCACAAAAGGCGCAAGCAACTGATAGTAATCTTTTGTGTACTGGTGATAAATTTCTACTTTTGATATTCCTATAATTCCAGAGCTCCAAAGCTTTCAAATACCTTTCAATAGCCTGCCATTTAGCACCCCTTCTAATATTTCTAAGTGTTGCAAAAAAGTCCATATGCTGACTAACTGTTAACGAATCAAATAACGCATCATGTTGTGGGGACAGTCCCAACGATTTCCTCGTGCTACTTCTATTACTAAACATATCCTTGTTGTCAATTCTTACCGACCCAGTGTCTGGAGGAATACTTCCAGAAATTGAATTAATAACAGCAGATTTTCCCGAATTTGAAAGCCCTAATATAACGGTTATTTGATCATCATACATATTCATTGAGAAGTTCCTTAATGGAACCTTATTATGCTGAGATTTCCGTAACATAATTGTCTGAACAACTGCCGGATTTATAATGTTAGATGTCCTAGCTCTCATATAGGCAATAGAATCATTCTTAGAAAAACGGCTATGCCTTTTAAAAGTCGAGACTCCGTACCTGCCAGGACAGCATTCCTCAAATACACAACACAACATCAGTAATATGAAAGCACCTACAATCATCATTATAGGGATGATGCCAAAAAAAAAGGAAGTACGATCAGACTTGGTGTAATGTTCCCATTGCAAGCCAGTACAATCTACATCTTCATAACGTAAAATTTGCTTAATACCAGTGAGGAATCCAAATTGAAAGTTAAGGGAGAGTAAAGCTCTTAGAGGAAAAGAAGTTACATCAACGTACAAATACAACACGTAACTAATAAGGCAAAAGTATGCTAAGAAAAAGCATCCCAGAATCAGAGTTTGAAATAATACATAAGTGAAGAAGCAAAAACATATTCCTGATATTGCCCATACTGTAAAAAATAAAAACAAGGCCGTGAAGCTGGAACAATTAAGAATGTTTCCGTTGTCGCATAGAGGTGCCTAGAAAAAAAGGCATTAGTTATGTATAAAAAGCATTTCTACTACGCACTTAAAAAATAAAAAAATTGAATTAAAATACATACTTTTAAAATGAAAATGGTCATCCAATTGATAAAGCCAAGTAAAATAAATGATGACAGAAACCAAGAAATATATTGAACGAATGCACTTGCCCTTGATATACTCATCAGATCTCTTAGCTGCAAATTTTTTTCTCTTTCCATATGCTAAAAAAATAAAACATTAATAATTAATTTCCCTTTCCTTATAATTAATTCAATATAAAAGTAGAAATCAAAATTCTCGCTCATTTAATACTTACCATAACTAAACGTATAAACGGATACATATATAAAGTACTAAAATAAAGTGGTAATATGTTTTCCCGCGCGGCTTTGAGCGGATCTCTGATCATCTTTTGCAATTTGTTCTGGTAATCTGAGTCAGAGTTAAACGGTTGGGATGGAATATAAATTTTCATAGGTTCAGTGGCGAAAATAGTGGCGTACATAACTTGCAAAAAACCTTCCTTTACATAAACCAAGTCTGACTTATCCGAGTCCACTTGCAATTGTGAAGTTTTCCACAAATCCAAAGGAGCTGTTCGAAGAACACTAGGGAACCGTATTGTAAATGTTTCACCCTTTGAAACAATCCCGCCTAAATAATTTCCATCTTTCAGCATGTCTGCCAATCTTTCTTCGCTATCCGCAGGTATAACCTGTTGCAGTTTTAGGATTCGCTTTAATTCCGATAGCAATGATTTTTCATCGTTTTTATTTTCTGTATATACCAAGAGCATTTTTAAAGGGCCTTCGTCACCTACTTCATCCACAGAATTACTACAAACAAACATAACAGTATATTAATTAGAAGAAATTTGGAATGCCAAGAAATAGAAAACAGCTATAACTTTTTTTTAATAAACACAACAATTATTAGAAATACTTACTACAATGCATTCAGATTTCTGATATCCCCAAGTGTTCCGTTTCGGTTGGCAAAGCAATGTGTCATATTCTCATTATTGTGACTACTTCTTAACCATATGAAATGCAGCATAGATAGTGGAATTAGTAGGTAAACTATAATTTCAAATCGGGCATAAGCCCTAAAGTTCTTTCTTAAAAGTACACAACATTTGGACATTTTTGAAATCGAAAATAACCTGTAAAAAGCGTTAATAATTGGAAATGTATTTATTATAAACATAACTTTATGCAAAGATGGGGGAAACAAATGAAATTTAGATCCATCCATTTTAGATCCATTTCTTTAAAGTGGCCTGTTCCATAATGAAACTATTGAGTCACTTATTTTCTAGTAATGTACTTCCACATACACCTAATTCTGTTTTTACACGATAATTTAAGCCTAAGTCGTGTAAAAAAACCGTGTGCAGACATTGATCATTTAAAAAATTAATCGTGCTAAATGGAATAAAGTCGTGTAACCATATATAAAATTTTTATTTTTCATATATATTTATTTAGAAATAAGGAACCAATCACCTATTTTTGCATATGATCCATTTTTTTTACACATTTGTCTGGAACCAATCTATCGTGTAAAAACAGAATTAGGTGTATTGGTAAAGTGAATATTTGTGCTTAAGTAAAGTTTCACTGAAGGTAGTATATACCTATTTTGAGGGTTATTATAAACATACTTACAATTTTGTTAGTTAGTTAGTTTAGTTAGTTCTTTAGACGTGAGAAGTGTGTCGGGCCAGTTATGTACATGCATATGTGTATGTTTTAGGCGGTGTGTAAAACAGCAATTAATTATATTTGGCATATATTAAAAAGCCTTCTAAATCTTTCTTGTATTGCGGCATTCATTTGGATATATTTTATAATGTTTGGCGAAAATAACCATTAGGGGAATTCCGGATTGCTGTTGAATATTTGATTTTGTTTATCAACTTTTCACTACCCTTTCTGTGGTGTCCATACAAACCACCGAAATTGTGGGGAAAACGGGCTCAATTATTATTAATAATAATCAGAATAATCAAATCAATTCATACAATTCATTCTCATTCAACTTTATTAATGTCAAATGTTTTCCATGTGTTAATCCATAAATCTGCGAATTGTCTATTGAAATAAAACCGTGTTTCGAGTCGAAAACTAACAGTAACACACCTGAAATAGGTATAAAATTTTGATTTTAAAAAATGCATTTCTCTGACAATTTCCCTACTTTTTTCTTTCAGTGTACCAAACAGTTAATTTTAAATATTTTGAAACTAGTGACTAGTGATTTTATCTACTCGTGACAATGCTACCATCGCTTAATATATCGTGCACTTATCGAATGCGTGTTAAAGTATGTGTGAAATATGTTTAATATTGTATGAATCAACTTATGTACATGCATTATATACATATGTATTCGCAGTATGAATTGTATACAACTTTGTTGATAAGATAGTTATATATGAAAATACCCATTTCTTGTTCAGTGTGTGAATCATATTTGGTACACTTAGACACCGAAGCTCCATATTATAAACTTCACAATGTCAACAAATAGCGAAAAGGACTTCTATAATTTGGTATGTAGCCACAAACATACAACATATGTACAGATATGTATATATATGTATATATATATGGATATGTATTCTTATATGCAAGCTCATAAATAAATAACTCGTCCATGCGTTCGTAGCATTTAATATTAGCCTACCTCAAGCGCTTCGGATTTATAAACATTTAATTCTTAGTCATACATACATATGTATGTACATATATGTATGTATATATGCCGGTGACAAGTCCCCAGTATTAGTAAACTGTAAAAATGCACACGAGTGTACATACATATATACATATGTACATATGAATAAAATCTACGCACCTACAGATGCACAGGTATACATATGTATGTATAAATACATAGTATCATATGTATGAGTGAGTATATGTAGGTCAGTATGCAGCCGCTTGGGTACATACATACATATGTACGTGTGTATGTTAACGGTAACAATGCGGGTACGCATTGTACGCTAACCAAATAAACAATAATGCAATTACATTGTTTTACAGACTATCAGTGTAAATAAGGCTTTGAATGGAATCGAAGCTCCATTAAAAACGAAGCATGCACGATCTGTCATCATTATGATCCACAAAGCGAAAGAAGCTAAATCATTTTGGAGGGTAGTGTCCCGCCAACCCCTTATGGAGAGTAGATTCACGGCATGGAAATTTTGTCACTTACTGCACAAAGTCTTAAGGGAAGCACATCCATGTGCGTTGCAACATTCCCAAAGGTGCGAATACAAGCTGTTCCCTTTTTTATTTATATAAATATTTGATAAAATGTATTGTTCGTTGCAATGTTCCCAAAGCCAAAAAACAATGATTCTGGAGATAGGCAAACTTTGGGGTCATTTACAAGACGATATTGGATATTGTATAAAAGCATATACCAAGCTCCTCGTTACTAAATTGAGCTTTCATGAAAAGAATCGTATGTATCCTGGATCATTACTGATTGCATTCGCCGACATCGAAAAAGTTGCAGAAGGAGACATCAATTTTCAGTGAGATAATATTTTTATATTTGATATTATGAACCTTTTTCACAGCATTGTTTTAGCTTCCAGCTGTGTGTAGAGATTTTTGACTACTTGGATGATATAATTGCACTACAATTGACAATATTTTCTTCTATTAATACGTATCGGATGTCCTCCATGACGCAGCAAGGACAATGCAGATTGGCTCCATTGATTTGCCTTATACAGGATTCCAACGCACTTTATGATATAAGTGTGCGACTAATGTTTAAGCTGCATGATGTATTGCCTAAAGATGTGTTAAATGGTCATCGAGATAGATTCAATGATATATTTGTTAAGTTGAAGTGTTTTTATGAAAATGTTCGGCCACTGCAATATTTTGCAGATCTGATCAAAGTTCCATTATTGCCGGAGTGTCCAAACTTTAGATCCCATACTATCCAAACTTATGTAGCACCAGTTTTAGTTGTGCAACCAGAGCCAATCGTCGATGATCTTGTAAATACTAACTTTGATAATTCCTCTGAACTGGATGGAATTGTAGTTCAACGTGTGGAAACGTTGGAAAATATTATAAGTGATAAAGAAGAAATTATAGAACAGCTTAAAAGTAAACTAGATATTTTTAAAACAAAATATGACGAGCTTGAAGTAAATTATAGCCGTGATATATCTGAACTTCAGAGAAATAACACGGCTTTAAGTAACGAACTCGCATCGACGAACGAAATGTGTTCGAGTATGCGGTTGGCAAAAGATGAACTGGAACTGCAATTATCAAATACCCCTACATTAAATCGTAAGTGAATGATTCGTACTATAAAAACTATTTTATTTGTGAACTTCAAATTTCGGACTGAAATACTTTTTTACAGAAAAGGTTTTGGAGGATGAAGAAAAGTTAAAACTATCTGCTGAAAAGTTTGACAAACTAAAAACAATGTATACTCAAATCCGAGATGAGCATATTAATTTGTTACGGCAGGTGAGATTCAATGTAATTTATTGCTTAAACAGTTTTTAATATATTCACAAAAATATTCAAAACACAGCAAAGCGATTCATCAAAAAGGTTAACTAAAGAAAAACAAACCAATTCAGAATTGATGTTGGAGATTAAGTCACTTAACCATGACATGTCAGAGCTCAAAGGACACATTGATGAGTTGACAGAGAATAACTCAAATCTTTTAAAAAGAATTGATGAGCAAAGTGAACACTTTATTAAATTTGAGTCACTTCAAAAAGACTTGAGGACAAATTTTGAAGAAACTATACAAAAGAAGGATGAAGAAAATATTTCTTTACATTCTACTGTTCAACAACTAAAGGCGAAGGAAATTGAACTTGAAAATCATAAATCACAGCTTCAGACCACTGTGGAGAAACTAACCCAAGCGGAAGACATAATCAAAGCTAAGGACGAAGAAATTCAAAAAAATTTGGCTCACTATGAAAAAGAGGCGAAAACCCGTTCAGTAACATTTGAAGAAAATGAAAAAATGTATCAAAATGATTGCCACAATTTACGTTCAAATTTGGAAGAATTACAAAACAAATTAATGCAAAGTGAGCAGTCTTCTGAGGTAAGCATCAGTATTCACTCCTTCTAAATTTACTTTTGTATATATTATTATATGGTATTAGGAACTAAAGCAACGTATAACATCCCTTCATCAAGAAAAAGAAGAGACTGGACAAAAATATTTAGACCTAGAGAAGCAAGTCCATATACATAAGGGGGAGCTAAACAATGTAATTAAGGAAGCTAATGTGCTGAAAGACTCCAATAAAAAATGTCTCGAGGATACTCAAGAGCTCAGGCAACTAATTATTAAAACTATTGAAGAGATATGCGCTTCCAAACTTCAGGATTCCACACAGCAACCACTGGAAGTAATTCCGAAAATAATTCTGGAAACGGAATCTTTACTTGATAAAACGGTATCTTCATCCCAAGCGTCGGCCGCCCTTTCCATATACAAAATAAAAGATATCATTAATTTGGGATACACCTTTGTAAAACTGTATGATCAATGCGATTTAATATACAAATCAACTACAGAAATTGAAAAAGGACAAAGTAAGTGTCAAGCACAACAGCATTTTTGTGATTATAAATTTGTATTAATCACTTTTGTCCACAGATATTTTCAGCCAAATAAGATCAATTTGCACGCAATTCTTGCGACTTTTTCAAAATCTGCAAAATGAGAAAACAAATCAACAAACTGATGAAATTGTAAATGAAATAAAAATAAATTTGAACACTCTTAAGAAATTGGTTCAAGAATTATTGGACACTTACGACAATAAAGTTGATCTGGACAAATTGGTCCAGATTGAGCTAAAGGAAATGGATGTTGCTATAGAAGCAGCTGCAAGCCAAATTATGGAGCTACTGTCAAGTGCTCGCAAAAAGCACAACGGAATAAAGTTGGAAGTTAATGAGAAGATCTTAGACGCCTGTACTACATTGATGGAATGCATAAAAGTTCTAATTGTGAAATCGCGTATTCTTCAGCAAGAAATAATTTCGTCTCGAAAAGGTAGTAAGGAAATTATCCTGAAACAATCATTCAGTACAATTTTTAAAATAACATTTCTATCTTTATACAGGAAACGCTACTGTGAACGAGTTCTATAAACGAAATAGTCAATGGTCCGAAGGCTTGATTTCTGCATCTAAAAGTGTTGCAAAAGCTGCAAATTATCTAGTTAAAGCAGCCAATAATGCTGTTGTAAGCGAATCTGGACAAAACTTTGAGCTAATAGTCGCTGCCCAGGAAATTGCTGCTTGCACTGCCCAATTAGTTATTGCGAGTAAAGTGAAAGCGAACGGCGAAAGTAAAAGTCTAACCGATTTAACTGATGCGTCTAGGAGCGTAACTAAGGCAACTGGTACTGTCGTTGCCACCGTCAAAGATTGCAACGTCCAATTGGAGCAAGCGACGGATGTTGAATTTTGTAAACTGACACCATCCCAAATTAAAACCATGGAAATGGAAATACACGTAAAGGTATTACAACTGGAACAAGCACTTCAAACACAACGATTTAAGCTGTCAGCATTCCGCAGGGAGCATTACCAAACCACAGAGTATTAAAATGCTATTCAAAGAAAAGAACATTGCACATTTTAAGTAGTTAACTTGTTTTTTAAAGTTTATACGCATATGTATGTTGGAAACATAAACATAAACAACTCTACGTTAACCCCAATATGTACCCACCCGCAAGTACCTGTCTAAAACCTACATTATTGGTGGTTTTTATATTTTACATCATATTGTTTTGGGTTCGTAAATAAAATACAAATTATGCAACTGAACATCACGAAGTTTATATTTCAGGAGCGTATGAAAATAGCTTTAAATACAATGTCAATACCGGAGATCCGCAAAATGGCAGTAAATAAAAATCGTTTTAATAATTTTACTCGTCCACTTCGTTTTTGAATCACAACAAAAACACGACTTCATTAAACAATTAACTTTTAAGATAAAACGTTGCTAATAATAAAAAAAATGTCATTGCGGGAAAATGGAGAGGCATCTCAAAACAACATAAATTCATCTTGTCCAGTACTTAGGAGAATATGCGTACCAAGGTTGGTGAATCTAGCTCTAAAACTTAATACCACGCCTCCATCTGGATTTTACAAAAAATAAACGATTTCCTTTAGTTACAAAATGAGCACGAACGCGTAAAGTCCGTACATTATCCGTATTATATCTGTATCGGGAAGAAAGTTGTAGAACTATAGTAGTAGTAATTGACGAACAATTTCGATTCGCCACGCCCTGCAGATCATATATGTATGTACCTATACTATAATATCACTAAATCTAAAAAGTGTACATGCCAGTGTTTTACACATGTTTATATTTGGTTTATTATACGAAAGCATTATATGATTTTTTTGTTTTTAGAAATAACAAAGTACAAAACCTTTAGTATTTCTTCACATAAAATTGAGAAACTTAATTATATTAAGGAATGAATAAATAAAATGTATGTTTGAGTTAGCTTATCAAGAGCACAAGTATTATTTCAACCGTATCCAACAGACTGGTTTAAGGCTTAATATTTTTCTGCAACGATACAAAAAAATAGATCGAAAATTTTTATTTCCAGACATATGCCAGTTAATTATGCATAAATATAACTGTTGGAAGAAGCGTCCCGATAAAAAATAATCTACGGAACTCTTACCTCATCAGAGAACTCCATGTCGTCTTTCAAATGCTTAGAGCGTCGTTTCTCACTCGTTGTGAGAAGTTGTGCCACTTTAGTTTGCTTTGCTAAATCGTAGGCTTCCTTTTTGCTACGCATTGCACAGTCCTCTAGGGTTTCAGCAGCTTCGAACATACCCTGTCGCCTATAAAGGGCACCAAGATTTTTCAAAGTTGTTGTAACAGTGGGAGAATCAACTTTAGCAGCTTTGTGCCACCCTCCATATTCGCCATATGGTGTGTTCTCCCGATTATCGTATTTGTGTTCTTCCCGTTCTTCAGCCACCTAAAAGTAACATTTTTTTGAAATACTTTATTATTTCAGTATGTTCCAGCATCATTTTTCGTATTGATGCACTCATACGTACAAACATTTGTATCATAAATGATTTAAATCGTTATAATCTAATTGCATTTTACCTGCCAAATAGGTTTATTTTTACTGTCAATAGCTCCGAATTCCCTCTCATGTGCTCTAGTCAAGACTTGCTTGTACAGGATTTCAGCTTCCGAATATTTTCCTTGCTTCAGATAGCAACTAGCCAAATTATTTTTTGTTTTGGCTACATTTGGATCATCGGGCCCAAGTTTAGATTCGTAGATATCGAGAGCTCTCTGATAATATTTTTCAACTTCGTCATATTTTCCTTGGTTTTGGCAAAGCAAAGCTAGATTATTAAGCTGCTTTGCAACGTCGGGATGATCTTTGCCAAGAACCTTTTCACGGATTTCCAAAGCACGCTTACACAATGGTTCAGCATCCTTGTATTTGCCACGCTTACCATACAGTACAGCCAAATTATTTAAAGTAGCTGCCACTGCTGGATGATTCTCTCCGAGCGTTTTTCCACGAATAGACAAAGCGTCATTAAGCAAGTTTGCAGCCTCCTTATATTTATTCTGAACAAAATTAATAAATAATAAAGTTAATAAATATTTTTGTATTTTCATAAGATTATCTCTTACTTGGTCACGATAAACCAGTGCCAAAATATTTAGCATAGTTGCAACGTCGGGATGGTCATGACCACTTGTCTTCTCAAGGTCCTCCAGAGCTTGCTTACAAAGAGGCACGGCTACCTCATATCTGAAAATATAAAGCATTCATATCTGGCTTATGGGCACAAAAAATCCATATTTATTTTTTTAATTAAGAAAAAAATAGGTAAGTTACATTTTTTTTTTCAGTTTGTAAGGTGCATTAATTAATAATTTAGATGAGAGTATTTTTAAAATAAACAGTATTCCCGATAAATTTGTGAATATTTTTGGATGTAGTATAAAAAAAGTTATTTGACATGCGAATGATTTACATAGTTATTTGAATATACTTCGGTAAATGGGATAAAAAATAGTACAGTACCTTCCTTGTGAAGCATATTGAATCACTAGATTGTGAAGTGTGCGTAAGCGTGCTGGAATTTCGTAGCCAGATGTTTGATTTGCAAATTGGCTTGGAGGGGTTGGAGACATATTGTTTCTATCATCATTCTCTTCATCCGGAAATAGTTCGACAACCGGATCAGCGCGTGGCTTTTCGCAAGAATCATCCTGATCCTGATTATCGTCATACTTTTTCACGGATGCCATAAATTCGAGATGTTTCTTTTCTTCTTCCAACTGTGCAACCAATTGTTCAGATGCTTGAAACTTTTGTTGAGTATTGGCCAGTTCATCACGAAGCCATGCGTTTTCCTGATGAAGTCGGCGCACTTGTGTCTTAAGTTTTTGCTTTTCGGCTTCAATATTTTGTAAGTGCGATGTGAGAGCCATCATAACTTGAGCTTCGCTCAGTCCTAGTTCGATGTTCTCGATGTTTTTTCTCAGTATGTCGGATTTTTCATTATCTTTTTGAACTTCGGCAATTCCGTTCATTAATGAGACATGTTCTACGCGCAAAGCTTCCAAGCCTTGCAAAACTGTTTTTGTGTTGAAAATTATTTCATCTTGTGACATTTGCGTCATTTTGCCGATTTTTTCAATTTTCTGGCTGCAAATAAGCAACGGACATAATTTTAAATTATAAAATAAGCTCTTTTCCAAATCGACAATTAAGTCAAACAAAATTGACGCATATATTTAAACTTTTTATTTACATTCTGTAATTCTTAATGGCTTTTGAAACAATCATTTTAACTTAATTTAACTGGCAGCTACAATTTTTCCTTCTACTTGTAATCGATAGAAAGGAAGAAGAAGACTAGGTAATGCGCATGTTCATGCAGTGATGATTCAACTCCAAAAACAGAGTTTATTTCGCTTTCGAATCACCCCAACAATACAGGGTGGCTATAAGAAACTTAAATAGTCAAGGGGATATGGTTCTTTCTTATTAGTCCCAGTGTTCGCTCGAGTATTGGGCAGATAACAGCCGTAAATGAAAAATGCACAACGTTCCGTTACACTCAAATAATATGTTAAAAACACAATTGCTAAAACTGATGCAAATTAAACGCGTTTTCATAGGTGGAATAGGTTGATTTCATACCAAATCAATCCAATCACCATTCTCGAAATTGAGTTGTGCATACAGAAAAAGCCGGAAGTGATACGTATATACATATGTAACTAAGTATGTACATGTACATATGTATATATACATACATACGTATCTAATGCATATTCACACGGTTGTATGATAATCGCACTGCACTTCCAACTGCAACGCCAATCACTTAATTATGTTGGAAACCATCTGACAGTTTTATCAAATAAATATTCATACATAAATCCGATAAATTATGCCTGCCTGTGAGCACGTTTATACAAAATGTATTGCACTTTCGCGATGGAATTGTTTACCGTAAAGTATAACTAGTCGAAGATTTATGTACTGAAAGTAAATAGGGCAGAACGGGTTGGCAGTCTAAAACTTACGAAAATTGAGACAATAAAATTATTATGTTGTCATCACTCTTACTTGTTAACTACAAGTATTATATGTATGTTCATATATGCATATGTACTTATACTCATTTTCAGATAAGTTGACATCTCATAAACGGTTTAATTATATACATATACACATCCATTTTTATTTGTATTTTGCTTTAAAATATATTAGTTATGGTAATTCATCTACATTTTGTATATATGTTTCAGATACCTACATATGTATATAAATATGTATGTATGTACATATATAATCTTGCTTGTGTAAGTACATTCACATATGACTCGCCTATACGTACAATATATTTGCGTTGGCAAATGCCTGCTTGAATATAGAGTTCAATTATAGATGAACGGTTAGTGGGCTTTTCTGCCGTCAATTCACTGTCTTAATTGTATAATAACAATTTTAGTCAATCACAAACAATAGTTAAACAAAAGTAAAACACTACACTTACTACTTGCACCACCAGCGAAGTGTTTAGCGATGAGATATATGTATTTATAAAGTCGCTACTTTTACACAAGTCACAGCTCTTATATTCTCATAATAATCGTAATCGCTTATTGTAATCGATTAATTTATTTATGAAATTTACAAAAGAAACGTATTTTTTTAAATAAATTTATAACAAATGATAATTATAATTGAGACAAAATTATTATTTAATAAGCACAGTTATTGTTATTGATTAAGCAGGTAGGAAATATAAAATGTCAAGTTCAAATTATGCAAAGAAAATATTTAAAAAAAAGAGCGTTAGGCCTACATTGCTTGTATTCGGTAACGAAATCGAGTTTATGTTGTACTTACAAAGTCATATTAATTAGTTCATGGAGCAGAGTGTTGCTCTATTTAAATGAGCTTGCACTTTTCAAATCACCTAAATTCGAAAGACTATAATATGTATATTATTTCACATTTACATATAGCACATATTGTTTAATGTTTTGTACATAGCAATGCTAGGTCTATTATTTTTCACTTGTTACCAATTTGATTCTATCTCCTTAATTAAGCTGTTTTAGCATATTTGTTTATTAATTCCTGATATGTCATTTCGCATTTTAAATCTTCACCAATATCGCTTCCATAGTTCTTTTTGGCTCTTTCAAAAGCTTCTATAATACATGATCTGTAAGTAAAAATTGTTTTGAATATTTACACGGTTATTTTAAAAAGAAAGGAGGTCCGCACTACCTAAACAGTTTTTGATGCAAAACATACGCGCTCACATGGCCAGCATCAAGGTACCGTACTTCAGCTCCAGGCCATATGTCTTCTAGACTCGAACAGCCATCCCTTGGAACGTATGCATCATCTTTTGCACATACAGCTATGATTAAACTTGTATCAAAAGGCACAGAAAAGTTTTTCAAATGGGTGCATTCGTCCATCATGCCTCGCATAAATTGTAGGGCTTCTCTTTCCCACCAATTCGTTTTCGTTATATCAATTTTTTCTTTATTGTTTTGTGCAGTCATTGGCAATATAAATTGCATTAGTTTGGTCAAGGTTGAGGTGGATGTGTGATGTGATGCGTCTTGCTGATTAGATCTAATTGGTTGTGGGGGGCTTAAATCGGATTTTATTTTTATTTTACTACTATCTTGACCTTTTAGCGGTAGTGTTATATTCGTCGAGGCGTCCATTTTAATATTTTGCATAGATTTTGAAAGAAAAATGGAGTTGCTTTCAGTTGGTGATGGATTATTTTCTGATTCGTACTTATCGCCAACATCACCTAACTCTTGAATTTTTCTTGTATCATTTATGTCCTCTTTTAATTCGTGAAGCGACTGATTAAAATTTTTTATAAACTTTTGTCCAGCTTCAAAAGCGTCATCGATAACAGTAACCATTTTTGAGAGGCGCTCTCGATATTGGCCATCAGAATAATATTGCATTTCCAGCATGTCCCAGTTGATCGACTGACTCATCACTCCCTGAAAGATAGACATATATACAAATGTGGGATTAAATAGATACATTTGTATATAACGCAATTATCATTAATTTAATTAATTTGGCCGACGTTTTGAAGGGATACCCATCGTAACTCACAGCTGCTGATATTTTTCTTCAGATCTACAAGTACAAGTCGGATTGATCACGCATAAGATTGGCCTCTTGTCTTAAGATTATATCCATTGCTTAGACTGAAATTATTTTTGATCCTAATGGTATTATATTCACTTACAGTAGTAAAAACAGCAGATGCTGTAGACCATGACAAGCACGGAACGAGGACAATTGGTTTGGGCCAGTTAGTTGCGGCTAAAGAAGCCATCTGAATAATAGGAAGACAAAGATAATTATTTTTATGTAATTATATTCCTTGTGTGTTATACATACATGACCTCCCATTGACAATCCAGTTACTCCTAAAGGTCCGAATCCATTTCTTTCACACCAATGGAGGAGAACAAGACATTCCAGGATTAGGCAACCACCCATAACAAATATATCAGACACATTGTGTAGGTTAGATCGCCTGAAATTGTAATATTAAACAATGATGGGATAAATATTAAATATATGGATGTTAAATTAGTTATATTGCGAAAAAAGGAAATTAAATATGTCGTATTACGTTTGATCATCCGGTTTCCTTAGCCCATAGAATGGGTTTTCCAAAATGATGGATCCAATATTAGCATCTTTCAGCAAAGGTTTTGCGATAAAGTTTCGCCTTCTCCAAAAGAACTGAAATATAATTGTAGAAAATAAATGTAAGAACTTGTAAACCGTTTTGAGCGAAACAGTCGAAAGTGTTCGAATAGGAAATACCCCAGAATCGAAAAAGATAATTTATTAATATTTAACTACACATACTTCCTTGTAACTTTTGCGTGAACAAAAACCAACTCTTGAAACTGTATTGATAATTAAAAACCCGGACAATATTGATGATTAATTTTGAACCATGTCGACAGGAATACAATCCGTCATAGACTAAACTATACTAATATACAGAAATTCAGCATTTTGTTCCAAGCTTGACATTAGAAGACGCGGCCTTTTGTTTATACATACAGTATGTTGTTGAGGTAAATCATAATAGATCACTCTCGATTGTAGTATTCAATTTGTATACGCACATGATCTCCAGTTCCAGCCAAATGTATGCAGATCGGTTTATACTTTTCATTGACCCACTTATTGGGTATAATTAATTGAAAATATGCATGTTTAGATGCTTTCGGTACGACTCCTGGCAAATGTAACTCTAACGGTGTTATAAATTTTCCTTCTATTAAAGTGCTATCTGAGAATGTTTCTTTTTTTATAATTTCCACGGGGTAGTCACGTGGAACCAGTTTAAAGCACGTTTCTCGGCGGGAAATAATTTTTCTAAACTGAAATACTCTAAAAATAAACGTATTCATATTGATGAAACCGAATTAGCAAAATATGCAAAGATTATAATTTATAAACATATGTTGATGGTTCTTTGTCCGGATTGAAATCAGTTGAATTTAAATTGAAGAATAATCGTGGTACAAATTTGATATATTTAATAAATACCCATGAACCTAGATTCCTACTTAACAATTTGAAATGAATAAATTCTGAAGTAAAAAATTGGAGTTTTAAACTAACTAATTGTGTGAGGAATCCTCCACCGATTTGATGACGTTAACTCCTCTTCTCTGTCTAGATGAATTAGATCGAGTCATCTCTTAATGTTGAATCCTCCTCCGGGCTCGACACATTCACACATAGTTGAAATACTTTATTCAAGAGAAATATGCAGAAAAGCCATATGCACTGGCTTGTTATGTAAACATTTGGGTCGAGCCACCACCGCCACCACTGGTATTCCCTTACCTACGTAGGTTCTCTGGCTTTCCCCATCCTCTTTCAAAAAACCTAGTTATAAGCATTCGACGGTACAGGCTGTCCAATTTGCTTGGCATGATTAAAAGGAACTTTGTTAATAAAACTAATAAAATTAAAACTCTTGTTATTCTGTCACTTTATCGAAACAGATAGTAGTGAGACCGTTTTTTGTTTAGAGTATGTCACCAAAAAATGTTTCATGAAAATACTAAATACTAATAATTTGAATGCTATCACTACCAGTAGTTTTTAAGCTCGCTTTGTTTCCGACATTTATTAATTACTACAATTTTGCTTGCTAAGAGCAAGATCTTTAAAAAGGATCATAAAATTCAACAAGTGGCCTGAACATAGGCTGCACAAATCATGGTATATTAAAAGCGCTTAAATATAAACATAAGCTGCATAGATTAGTTTTTGGTTCATATATACATTCATATGTATTTTATTTCATTTATTTTGAACTGCGGCATGAGCCGTTGGGAGTTAAAAAATATTTATAACATGTTTATGCATAAATTTTATCTTTATGTATTGGGAACATTCAGAAATTAAAATACATAGTATAATATGCAGCGAATTTTAGAAAACTACTATATGAAGCCCTTAATTTCTACTTTGCCATTATTTTCGGCAATTGTGTGTATTTTATGTAGTAATGATCGCATATTATTCAAGGTCGTCGATAATCGCCGATCCAGAATTTGCCTCCAAAATGTTTGTCGAGTTATCAGCTTGTCCTGAACGTATCCCTAGGCCCTCATTCGACTCCGCAGCACGGTTTCCGAATTCTTGCATCTTAACAATTAACATTGCAAAAACTTGTGCCGGAAGCGATGACTGAAGAACCTGCAGCAGGCGAGCTGGTTGACCGCAGACAACAATTGCATTAGCCAAATGCTCAACACCGGTTTCAAAATCACCACGAGCTATCAACGTTTCGCCCAATTGAATTTCCTGAAGGAAATACCTGAAAATGTTTACGGATTAATATTGTATTCTATTGCATTTGCCACTGTTTATAACAATTTACTTAGAACCTAATTGTCATTGGATATAAGTATAAGAGCAAGTTTCGTTTTCTGTTATTAATTTAGAGTCAACAATATATATGTAATCTTCGGAGCGCCGAAGTTGTTTGACTACTAAGAGAAGAATAATAATACGAAGAGGCAGACAGACATTGCAAAATTGCGAGTTCAAATTGATGTGGCTGCAATTTATAAACAAATTTAAAGGTTTCGGACAACCAGAATGTCGTGGAAAATCGAAAAGCTGTTACTCATGCGAGAATCGAAGGACATTGTTGATTCCTTGAATGAATCGAGGCGAAATGAGTACATCAAGTTAAACGTGAGAATATCGGACTGTGCAGTCGGTAGACTAATTCTGATTCACTGAATGTACGCATTTCGATTACATTTGTGTGTACATATTATGTATGTACAATGGGAGGCGCGGACACTTCCAAAGCGGCACGTGTACTATATTATTATGTAACTTGAAAAAACATCAACACTTCTTACTTCTCAATTGCTTCGTGGTCATTCAAGTTTGGCATTCCCGGCTTCGCTGCACCTGACTTGCGATTGCGCCGACGACCTAAAATTTCAAATACTATATCTCCGATCATCATTTCTCACACTTGTACACTTACGCTCGCGGACTTTCTTCTTGTAGTCGGGATCATTGCGGCGTTTTTTGTCAAAATAAATGCAATAACCTATGAACAGAGTCCCAGCCACTCCAGCTGCAATGCCAATTGCAGTTTTGTTTATTTCAATCATCCTTAGAACCTTTTTTAATGTTTTGTGGGATTACAAATACAATCCCACATGGAAATTTATGAAAAAACACAGGGCCGTAGAGATGAGAGAAATGTCTTTATTCGTTTGTAGCTATCGTTACTATTTTAAAGTCACAAGTATATTTATAAATGTGATAAAATAATAGGAACAGTGTTACCAACAACGTGGAATCCCATTTGTTGTTTAATTTAAAATCAGTGCATGCATTCGTACATACCAATAAATACTTTCCTAAGATTGGTTGATCGGCACTTATTTTGTTAAATGCTGAATATAATTCTTACACGCTAAACCCAAAGAGTTAAGCGAATGTTAAACCAACAAAAGGTTGTATGGTTAGTGGTTAACCCCAGTAGGAGGGGAGGCAGACTCCATAAGGTAAATCATTGAAATTTTCTTTTCTGGCCGTACTCTGTCGGGAGTATTTATTTTTGCTTGAAAAAATACATTAACAGTGATTGCATTGGTTTTATATATTATTTGTTTTGTATTAATTTTAAATGGAATATATTTTTATAGCCTCTACCCGTGGCGTAAAATGGGTATATTATGCTTGTGCAAAGTAAGTAACAGGGAGAAGGAAGCATATCAGACCCCATGAAGTATATACATATGTATGTACATATATTCTTCATCAGGATGACGAGACGATTCGGTCTCAACATGTGCGTCCGTCAGGATGAACGACTGGATTTCGGAAACAGTTGGTATGTAGACGCTCATAGACCCTAGGCAACATAATATATACATATACATATATTTTTTTATCTCCCCCTCTCCTCGCAAGAGAATTCAATACTGTCCACATTTACTCATTTAAAATGATCTAATTCTGTTTGAAATTTTACCCAAATCGGTCTCACAAAAGTTATTACGGAATTACACAAATACTGGAGTTGCTAATAATTGGAGTTGCTGAGATTCTTCGAAATGCACCTACCACAATAAAAGAAAAGGTGAATGCGTCTAAGACAATGTTGGTCTACAAAAAACAGAAGAATAATAAGAAATAAAAAAGTACGAATTGCTAAGGTTGAAAATGCAAATTAGTTAATTTACATTTTTCTAGACGGCTAGCGGACGTACATATGTATGTACATAGCGTATGCCGACTCCTGGTCTAACTTGCATCTACAGCATTCAAGTTACTTACATGTTATCATATAGAAAGTTAATCATTTGAGTCAGAAAAATCCAACAGCACAAGAAAAGAAGCATGTTCGTAATAAAAGTATATACAGTTGAGAATTTGTTTGCTATAAAATTCAAAAGAAATTTATTATATGTATATACATAGTTCGTGGTAGCTTATCTGAGCTAAAAGTCCTTATAAAACTGCAATTGACCGTTTTTTTTCCACTTAAAAGAGCATGCACATTTCCAATCACAGACATCCACCACCCAGTATATTGATATTGGGAATGTATCTGAATAAAAACAGTACTTTGTCCTGTGACCAGGAAAATCAATTTCCTAACACAGACTTACACCCACCCTTATATTAAGAAAATGGGTATACTTTACTGGATAGCAATCTACTTCAAAGAGAAAATAAATAAGAGGATTTTTTAAATCGGATATCCAAGACATCTACCCCTCTGGAAAGGGGAAATAGTGCGTTATCCTATCGGAAAACATGAGCTAAAAATATTTGTTTCACAGTATTAGACTAAGCAACAACATCAAGCAGAGGGTGGTTTTAGGTTCGGCGCTAATAGTGTAATACTATATACATATACACAAATATAAATAATCATTTAACCCAATATTAAAATGTAGTTGCAGGGCATGGATTGTTGGACCAACTAGTTGATCCATATTGATGTACTTCTTCTGTTCTTACAACTGTTCTAAAACTGTACTAAGTTCCCATGGTGCCCAACGGGCAATGTTACATCAAGTTTGATTTCGAGCTCTGTTCGCTTCGAGCTTGTATGAGCTACAACAGTTGTTGTGGTTGGTGCTGGCTTGCGCTGTATCTGTATTCGAAGCAAAGTATCTCAACATTTCAGACTAGTTTCGCAATTCAAGAAGTGAGGACGTATCGTCGTGCGTGTTCCAATTTAATGAATGGGCGGCGTCGGCAGAAATAAAAGTATGTGCCTAAGCCAACACATAAATAAATAAGAATGTCTTTAAAATATCCATGTTACGCCTGAATTTATGTATCGTACAGGCGTTAGTGCTTAAAGTGATTGCTTACATACATTTAAGAATACATATGTATGTATGTAGGTGTGTGTGTGTGTTGTGCTCGTTTTTCGGTCTGATTTAATGAATCAAAAAGATCAATTTATAAATTGCACAAGTTTACGGAAACCCATACATAAGTAGAACTAAACCTAAGATGTGTAAAAATAGATATAGAAAAAAGAAAATTGAAGCTAATCCGTGTAACAAGCGTCGAATTAAACCAATACATATTAGTATGTGTGCATGTACAGATGCATAAAAAATGTTGTTTGTATATGATTGTGTATAAATGTATGTGTGTGAATTTACACACACACTTGCATGACGCATAAAGAAACCAAACTCGTTTGATGTTTTATACTCTACCGGGCGAGAAAATTGTAGTACCGACCAGAGCACGGTTGATTTGTGTCAAAGTGTACAAGACGATAAGGAAAGCAGTGATAAAAATGATGAGTTTGTGTTAAAGTTGCGCATTTTTATTTGACCGTATGTAAACTGCAGTATCATATGGCAGCACCATACGATCGTGCAACTGGGATAAGAAAACTATCGATAAGTATCGATATTCATATTTTTGTAGTTGTGTGATTGGCAACTTTAAGTCAAGAAGCAGATCTGTAAACAATAGTGATAAATTCATACATATTCATGCATATGTAAACCTATCTATGTATCTACATACATATGCATAAGCCCCAATAAACTGTGACCATATAAATTAAATACACTGATTTTATGGTGAAAATTGTTGCGATGCTACCTGTTTAATATTAAATCAGATACATGTGTAAATAAATAAGTGAAGAAATTAAAATTTATGCTTTGTAGTTGAAGTGTGCATTTTTGCTTTTTATAAAAGCCCTGACCTACAGTCACCAAGCGGTCTTCCAAAATGTCCCTTGCTACCATACTTTTTTACACGTTTGTTTCATATTGTGACAGTGACACAAACATGTTTTGTTAAAAAAACATGTTTTACCGTGGTTGCTGATACAATTAACAATTCAAAACAAGTGCAAGCAAGTGCCACATTTTTACTCTGTTGATAATTTAGTTGTTTAAAAGTATTTGATAGTTATCCTCTGTATAAATATGTTCATACATGTATGTACATTCATGCATGTACTATATGTATATACATACATACATATGTATGTGTCTATGCGTTTTTAGCAGGTTGCAGTTTTTATTTTTCTGTGATAAAAATAATATACTTTATATATGCACATATGTACTTATGTGTGTGTTTCATTCATAATGGCTCAATATATTTAGGGTTTTTTAAAAAGTTTAGCTATAATAATAGCCAATAGCTAATGAGAATATTTAATGTTTTGGGGTTAACTAATTATTCCAATTACTTCCACCTAAGAATTGGTTAATGTATGTGCATATTATATAAATGAGTGAGTGACTCTTCACGTGAATGAGATGCTCCTGTGATATAAACTGGATTTAGCCTCTATATCGATCTTTTCATCAGTCATCATTGCTGAACAGTGTGTTCCACTAGAGAGCTGTATCGTTTACTTCATAGCGTTTAAAGACTGGTGAAATTTTTAGTTTCATTATGCCGGTATCACTGTGTTATTACAAATCGGTTCTAGTGTGTCTTAAACTATATTTTAAAATAGTATTAGAAGTATTATATTATTTTTTTATTATTATTATTAGGGTGGATTAGGTTTGTGCAAAGTATGTAACATGCAGAAGGAAGCACTTCTTCCCATAAAGTATATGCATACATATATATGACGAGACGAACCGATCTAGACATGTTCGTCCGTCGGAAGGATCTCAAAAACTATAATTGCTGGAATAACCAAAGTTGGTATCCAGATTCTGCTAGGTCCGGGAAAGGACTATTTTATTTTTTTATTATGTCTCAATTATCTACTTTTCAAATTTCATCCAAATCGGTAAATTCTAAGAAAAGTTATTAGCGAAACAATTTCAATCCGGTACTACGCCCACTAGGTCCATCAAGTATTGAGTTCGCTCTTCTCCTTCTCTTGCTTATGCTATGGCCTGCCCGCTACTACCTCCATTTCCGTGATGCCAAATCTACTACCACAAAACAATATCACTTCCATATTTTGTCATCCATGGTCATGTTGTTGTATGTTGTTTTTGTCATTTATACTTGTTGCCACAAAATGCTTTTAAATTTTAGAGCAATTTCGACCACTATAGAATTTTTATTTAAACAATCTAACAGGCTCACGGCATATGTATATACATTTTATCTCTATTGGGTATGCGCTTATCCAGAACAAGTGCTTTCTTTAAGCAATTTGCCTATTAACATCTATTTACTTCTGCATATGTATGTATTTGGTTCCGATGATTATATGTTTTGAACTAATTTTGTTCTAGAATTTTATGGATTACTTAGAATAGATGCAACTACTATTTGATTTGAATGATTTGAATTAGACCTCGTAAAAAACCAGAAATTGAATTTTTTACAATGGAAATATTTTAACCAAACTGGCTCAACACAGAATGTGTTAGGCACCTCACTGCCTTAGTACATCCTTATTAATTTGAAAACTAAATATGTATAGTATTGATTGGACTAAAACACACAAAAAAATTCTTAAAAATGTGCAGTGGCTTACAATATTTTTGTCAATGAAGATTACAGAATTATGGTGATTATAAACATTCATTTCACTTACGTGACCTATTAGGAGAGTTAACTGAAAATTGTAAAAACGTGTACATTGAAGATAACTGGATAGCGTGGTTCTGTTACCGTAAATTTAATTGATTAATTGTAATATCTCTTTTTGACCTTCATTGTCATGTGTAATGTGTAATTTTAACTGATTTTTTTCTTTATAAATTGCTTGAAAACAAAATCCATATAATAATTGTTTTGATATTAAAATTACAGTGACAAGCGGCAGTTTTTTCAAACCATATCATTACTTCAACTGTAATTTAGAGAAATCACTATACACTATTCGATTGTATAATGCATCGAATGTTTAAGCTAAATTTGTACTAAGTAAAATAATTAACGACCCCATGAAATAAAACAAAAGAACCTTAATACAATACTTAGCTTCAAAATATTGATAAAATTCTCGCGTTACTTATGAATCAAGAATCTTATATTAGGTGAGAGAAACTTCCTTCTGTCTGTTATATACTTGGAAACACCTGACTTCTGCTTATATCCTTTCGCAATATATTAATATTTTTACGAACATTTATCTACTCTACTTCATACTTGTACTATGTAGGAAGTTTTCTTTGAAGTACGATTAGTATGAGGAGCAAATTTCTGTAGTTGAAAACGTACGTCAATAAACGTAGGTTCGCAAATGTTATATGCTATTTTTTTTGATTCGAATTATTTCAGGCTCGAATTCAATTCGTCTTTTATATTGGGGCATAACATTACTCAGCCATTAGGCCAAAATTACCAAATCTGTTAAAGTGCAGAAGAAACAGTTAGTAAAAGTACTGGAATCCAGATTAATACTCCAATAGTAAGAAGTATATGACGTCGGTTAGGGATTTCACGCAGATAGCCATTGCGGCTATATAGTTTAATTTTAAAACAAAAGGGCTTCACATATTTATACTCCACTTTAAATTTTGTACAAAATTTTATAGTTTACAATAATTTAAATTTTTGAAATTGATTTTTTTTGCTCAGTTATAAAGCAAAATTAAACAACTTAGATTTTTGGTCGTATCGTATTTATACATCACTTCGTTTTTATACTCTGTATCTGAAATGTACAAGAGTATTTTACGTTTATGCAAAGTAAAAAATGAATGTAACAGGTAGACGGTGGCGTGGCTGACCCCACGAAGTATATACTTGTACATACATTTATCAGAATGAAAAGACAATTCGTTTTAGCCTTGTCTAGCCGCCTGACCGTATGAACATCTAGATCTCAGAGAGTACAAGTATATGAGCTAAAGGCACAACATTTTGCACACTGATATCCTTTATATGTGTACGCTGTGTCAGTTTATTTTCATTATTTTGATGCAGCCCCAAACTCCCCCGCAATTCATAGAATTTATCAACCAATTAAGCAAAAACTTAGTGATTAGGTAAATGTAAAGTTTGTAAAGTAACGTTTCATGTATGTAAAGTGTCATCGATAGGCCAATTTTAAAGTAAGGTAAGGCTTAAGCTATGCCACAGAGCTTCACAGTTAACCTCTCAAATATACCCATGTGCATTTATGTATGTGAAATAGATGAAGGCTTAAATAGCAATTAAACATTTGAATCAGAAAACGAAGCACCTAATAGTTAACACGACATTTCTGATTTTTCGGACTCTAATAATTAACAAAAAAAAAATAATTAAACTGGACAGGTCAAGAATAGATTTTTAAATAAATAAGTAGTGCTGTTGATCCAGGAATTTGTGTTAACGTACTGGAAAAGAGCAATACATTTTAAATTGCCAATAGGCAAAAATCAGGCCATATACTCACATCCATGACAGTTCTGCAACAGGTGAACAAGTTTTTTCCACTTCTGGAAAACTCTTAAATGAGCGATTTTAAATTTGTTTGGTTATAACAACCGAAAATAGCCGGCCCTCTACTCTATACTGTACCCATACAGACACGCTTAGACACACATAGTCCAAATTCCGATGGCAATGTGCAGTCCTATACGCTTTACGTGAGTTCGACTCCCGAATAGGTCACTGTTTTTATACCCTGTACCCAAAGGGTACAAGGGTATATTAGTTTTGTGCGAGTGCACATGGAACACACAGAAGGAGGCTTGGTAGACCCCACAAAGTATATATATTCTTGATCAGCATGACAAGCCGAGTCGATATAGCCATGTCCGTCTGACCGTCTGTCCGTCTGTCTGTCTGTCTGTCTGTCTGTATGAACGCAAGGATCTCCG